ACTCAATTTTTCATTTAATATGAAATTGAGTATATCTCAAAAACTGCAAATACCGTCAAAAATTATAAAAATGGTCTTTGAGATATTATATCATATAGTAATTCCATATTAAATGGAAAATTGACTATATCTCAAAAACTGTTCTAATTTTTTTTAACTTTTGACAGCATTTTCTGATTTAGTGGACAATTTTACATAAGAATTGGCTGTTTAATTTTGGGATACCATGGTATTCCATTATTAACCATGGTACAAGTGAAAAATCAGCCACGAATAACTATTAAATTAGTAATTTTTGACTAATTCATTTTTAGAGAGTGTGTATTTTATCTAAGAGATCATGATGAATTATTGTGTTTTGAATTGTAAATGTAATTCAAGAACTAAATCGTTGCATTTTCATGTTTTGCCAAGCTATCCAATTTGGTACGTAGGTATATTTGTTAGTGCAGAATTATAACTTTACCTAATATAATTATTATAATAAGTTTGTTCATTTTTGAGAAAATAATAGTTGTACGAACATAACCTTAAAATCAAACATTTATATATTTGAGCACTATAAAAACCGCTGACAAATTCATTTTAAAATGGTTAACGACAAAATACATCTACGAATTTATGGCAACATAATAATATTATATATAATACATAATCAAATACCCGTGTTTGTTTGTTTACCGTTGAGTGTAGACTTCTTTAATCAACGCTTTTAATAATGCAACTTATTTGTTTTATGATTTTAACTGAATTGAAATGTTTACAATTTCCAAGTAAATCATTACTAAAATGTGTATTTATTGTATCTAATAGGTACAATTTTTATTTACAGGGACTGTATAGTAGGGTGGAGTGAATTTTATTAAATTTATTAATTGATTTTTCCTATATTATTAATTGTTGACTAAAGGCGTAAAATGAATAAATATCGAAAAAATATTCCAATTTTTTAATATCTTGAGGTGGCGCATCAGTCTGGAAGTTTTGAAAATTCTAAAAAAATATTACTTTAATCAAAGTAATAAAAATAGCATTATTTATAAATAAAAATTTATTTTAGTAAAATTAACGTGAAACGTAAACATATTTAATAGTAAATCATATGCTTTAAGTAACTTCAGGAGTGTTTATTGGTAGAAATGAGATCTTCTTTTTCGAGAAAATACTGACATTTGGTATAAAAATTTGGTAATTATTTTCTGACTTTAATTCTTGTTCTGATGAAACCATCTCTTGCTTCCGATCCACAAACCGAGTCTGAAGATTCAGTATACTGGTTATAACCAGTTTTACACAGCGTTCCACTGCGTGTGACACGGAAATTTTTGGAAGTATAGGAAATTGTCACCCGAAGAAATCATATCGGTAATTTCTTTCATCGTATTTTATAGTCATAGGTGGTTCAGTTACCTTTTCTGTCGCCCAGTGAATTAACTCGTAAAAATGTAATGCTTCAGTATTTAGTTGTGGAAGCTTTAATTCCCGTAATCTCGAACATTTTGATTCTTTTCTCGCCTTTAATATTTTCGGCAATGCTAGTTCTCTGATCGATAGATATATTGTAGGTAACATAGCTAGTAATAGGTTTTCGGGATAAATATTAGCTATAGCTTACAAAGCTAGCACATTCCCTATGGCTGACGTGGGCTAATAGGATTATTCGTTTATATGGGGGGACAGCAAATCCATCGGAAAACCTAAAAAAATTGGCTACTTTTATCATGAAAGTGTATGCCCCAACGTGGTTTTACATCAACACCAAGCCTACGTGCAAACATGGTCCTATTCACATATTTAATATGACTAAAAGAGCATTACACCTCCAGAAAAACTTGAAGGCCTTATAACTATAGTTATAAAGAATATTCAGCGAAATATTTATCCCGAAAACCTATTACTTGCTATGTTACCTACAATATATCTATCGATCAGAGAACTAGCATTGCCGAAAATATTAAAGGCGAGAAAAGAATCAAAATGTTCGAGATTACGGGAATTAAAGCTTCCACAACTAAATACTGAAGCATTACGTTTGTACCAGTTAATTCACTGGGCGACAGAAAAGGTGACTGAACCACCTATGACTATGAAATACGATGACAGAAATTACCGATATGATTTCTTCGGGTGACCATTTCCTATACTTCCAAAAATTTCAGAGTCACACCCAAGCAGTGGAACGCTGTGTAAAACTGGTTATAACCAGTATACTGAATCTTCAGTTTTGGTTTGTGGATCGGAAGCAAGAAATGGTTTCATCAGAACAAGAATTAAAGTCAGAAAATAATTACCAAATTTTGATACCAAATGTCAGTATTTTCGCGAAAAAGAAGATCTCATTTCTACCAATAAACACTCCTGAAGTTACTTAAAGCATATGATTTACTATTAAATATGTTTACGTTTCACGTTAATTTTACTAAAATAAACTTTTTATTTATAAATAATGCTATTTTTATTACTTTGATTAAAGTAATATTTTTTTAGAATTTTCAAAACTTCGAGACAGATGCGCCACCTCAAGATATTAAAAAATTGGAATATTTTTTCGATATTTATTCATTTTACGCCTTTAGTCAACAATTAATAATATAGGAAAAATCAATTAATAAATTTTAAAAAATTCACTCCACCCTACTGTATAGGACTTAATTAAATTCGTGGCGTTTATCAAACTTGATACAATGTCATAATATACTACTAAGTATTAGTTTTAAAAATGGCGAAGGCTCCGGGATATTAAAATCTTGACTCTTAAGAAGCAAAACTAACGGTGGAACTTTTAATTTTACGTTTGTGGCCTTCTTTCTTTAAGGGTCGCTATTCTGCCTGGTTTTATTGCTTCGTCGTGTTTTATATTACCCTCATTACGCTAGCTGAAGTTGTTTTACTACAGTTGAAGTAACACGGGGAGAAAAAAGAAAACATTTATTTACGAGACCCCGCCGTATTTTATGTTAACAACTATAATAAAAATGTTTATAAACAGATATGACTCAAGCCCTTATAAAATCAGAAATATGTCAGGTAAATTAATAGTTTTTAGAACTAAGTACATTTGCTACATTTTAGTAAATGTTTTGGATTGCTATACCAGTTTTAAGTTTTAAGACAACAACGTTCTATCGTCTCCTACACCGTTCAAAATTCCATGACCATTTTAACACCAAATTAACACCATACATGGTCTATATCGATACAAACCAAAATAGTGTTAAATATGGTTTGTTGGTCCGGTGTAAATTCAAATACTAAAATAGTGTAAAATTAACTTTCACATAGTATTAAAATAAATTTTACCTGGTGTGAATTGAACTCCTTTTCAGTGTTAAATATTATGTGTTTTTGGTCAAATTAAATCAAACTACACAGAAAAAAAGGAAAAAAAAGAAACCAGGAAATTCCTTGACGCATTACTATTACCAGTGGTATTATTTCAGAAAATTGAACCTTCAACTCGCTAGAGATAATGTTTTTAGGGCGTTCCACCAACTTAAAATACTTCAAGTATTGACAGCTGTTTCCACCTATTTAAGGTCTCTTTAGTATAGAACAACTTGTAGTTTCACACCAAAGCAAAGGACTACCTGAGCTTACATATATACTTTTCATGTAAGTCAACAGAGGCGAGATTTAAGAACATCACGTGATCCACACCGCCTTTGCCGCGATCGGTACACACTATGCAACAAGGAATACACGGCAAATTGTTTTAATCGTTTTAACAGAGTGCTTTAGGTTGAAGTAAAACAACATATTTAGTAAACTTAACCATACAGCGGGTTGGTTTCACTAAAGTTTTTTGGGTTAATTTAAGCAATTTAAAAAAAATAAAATAACTATCTAATTTAGTAGCATCAAACCAATCTTTGTTTATATTAACCTTCCCACAGTTGATTTAAATAAATACTTATGGGTCAACTAAATTAATATAGTTAAATGAACTATTCCTTTTTTCTGTGTAGGTGCACTTCTAAAATATTTTAAGATAAACACCGTTTTGGTGTTTGCGGTATATAACATTTTCAACCATAATTCATGGTGTTTATATATTAACACCACTTGGTGTTGGATTTTGACACCCTTTTAAAATTACTCTTTACACCACAGATATTTTAAACAGTGTAGCAATTTTTAATGCTTCTAGAAGAATATTTAAAAAACATTTTTTTTTGTATTAAAAGCGTCCTGCAAAGGCCGACATAAAAATAATAAATTTTTGAATGGAAATTTATTGCGCTTTTCGTTTTTATGTGTATTATGACAGTTAATTCCCCATATCCATTAGTTTCGATATTTTGAATTGCCCCGATTTGGATTTAGCCACGTTCCAGTAATTTTTCATTTCGTCCGATCGGATTGATTTGACATCATATAAATTCATCCCCTGATAACAGAGTACCTACAACCCTCGACCTCATGAATCATATAACTTCCACAAAGTTATCTTTTCGTAATACTACTTTTAAAGTTTTATCTTATATTTTATATATACTGATGCATTCTCGGAATTTAAATATGGAGAATTTAATTTTTACATAGAAAATGTAATTCAAAACTTCTTCTGGGTAGGTATAAATGAACTTTATTTTAAATATCACATTTTTAATTTTATGTAAACTCATTTTTGCAATAAAAGTTTGATTAAAACGAGTTACTAAAATAAATAAAACATAATTATACAAATTAAAATACTTTTATCTATTTTGCGTTCTAGTACTTACGAGACTTTTCTGGCAATAAATTTTGTTTAACACCAAAGAAAATCCTTTTTTTCTTTTTTAACATTAACAGCCGCTTATTGTAAATAAGTAAATTAAGGACGGCATGGCGAATTGATTTTCAAAAACATTTTGTTATACAGTGTGATAGTATTAAAATGTTGTATTTTTTGTTACAGAAATTCCTGCCATAGAAGTATTGGTGCAAATTAAAATGGGACCTTTGCTTTCCACAATGGAGGGGGGAAGATACAGACTTGCCCATTTGGCAACGCCGCCATGGCGCTGCTAATGCGTCGTCTACTTGTAGACGCTCAGGTAAAACAAAAATTTAATGTTAATTATGATTTTTGGTTCTGAATTCGAAAAATTGTTATTTGACATTGGCATTTTAATCTCTGCTTACACAATGCAAAGAAAAACTCTATAATGATATTAAGACGCTCAGGTAAGCTCAAGACAAACAACAAAATTTCAATTTGCATAATTCTTGTTGTTACCATCTTTTTGACTCAATTTATCATAACTAAGAAGCCAAAGTAGCAAAGTAGGTCTTCCAAACAACGGATAAACATTCGTTAAGGAAACTCATAAAGTTCCGAGATAAATTACAAGTCACTGGTAATCGCTGAACCCTTGTTTTAATCCCTTGCAACTTCCAACGAAGTGAATTAATACAGCTTTTTGAGAGTTGTATAGGAAATTATCTGATTTTTAATGTTTACTTTTTAAGATAGCTTCTCTTTAAAAATGATTAATTTAATAGTTATTAGTGGCAGCTTTTTCACTTGTACCATGGTTAACCATGGAATACCATGGTATCCCCAAGCCAATTCTTATGTTAAATTGTCCCCTGAATACGAAAATGTCGTCAAAAGTTAAAAAAGTTTTTGAGATATAGTCAATTTTCCATTTAATATGGAATTGACTATATCTCAAAAACTGCTCCACTTTCATAATTTTTGACGGTATTTTCGGATTCAGGGGACAATTTTACATAAGAAATAGAATTTTGGGATACCATGGTATTCCATGGTTAACCATGGTACAAGTGGAAAAGCAGCCACTAATAACTAGTCATTTTTGACTAATTCATTTTTAGAGAGTTGGGAATATCATGCAGAGTTGCAAATAATGCATTATTTTTCGAATGCATTAAAGTTTCAATACTCATTATTAAAATAATGAGTAATGAGTTTAATTTTCATTAGGCATTACTTATTTTATCATTAAATTTCTTCCAATAAGTTATGTATTCTTTTTTACATTACTCATTTTTAATTTGTAATGAGTATTTTGATATTTTGAATTAACATTCTTTATGTTAATGAGTAATGTAGTCACTTTACATTTCTCATTTTTAATTTTTAAATAGATAGAAGTGTAATTGATCATTTACAAAAAGCATGAGCAAAAATAATTTATTATTTAAAAGTAATCAATTTCATTAGAAAAAATTGTTTAATTTTTATTTTAATAGTTATTTTATTTAAATTTTATGAAAATTACTAATGTCATCAAAGAAAATTATTCATTAAAAACCAAAAACATACGTGGTCCAATTATATTGATGATTCAAGAAAATGTTTAAGAAGTAAATAGAGAATAAAGAAAATATTGTCTTAATGAAGTCAAAAAAATGTTTCTAACCCAAGGAAAGTATTTTGCTTTCTTTTTTAATATTTCCTTGATTCAACTCAATTTTTTTAAGAAAGAATTGAACCTTCACCTCGCCAGAGTTTTTGTTTTAAGTGCTTGAAAACTACCGACAGACAGCTGTTTCGACCTATATTGGGTCTCATCAGTGTCGGCACCTTGGTGTAGTGGAACACACCCAAAACTAAACACTACCTGAGCTTATATACTGTTCAAGTAAGCCAACAGAGGCGAGATGTAAGAACATTACGTGAACAACACCGTCTATAGACAATTTTTTTAATCTTTTTTTTCATGATCTGATCTTTAAAGAAGTCATTTATCATGCCGATAAAAATTAAATATGATTAGATACATATGTGTAATTATTGTTAATTTCTTTAATGATTAATGTAGGTATTCACAGTAAAAAAATATTTTTTAATTTTAACCAGATTTTATTTTAATCCAGGTCCACATAACTTTATGTTAAGTTTACAACCAAGTTTGTAATTATAACAATCATTTTGTAGATTTTGTAGATTCAATAATTCAACCTTTTCTCCTTTTCAGGCAAAGCTTCGCAGAATGGTAGAGGAACACTCTACAAACCTCACCTCTCGGATAGATTCCGACTACCCCGGCTCCATCCCCACCCCAGCCCCCTGTCCCGCCCCAGCTTCGTCCCTCCAGATCCAGGACCCGAAACCCGCCGCAGATGTTCCGCAGCTGAACCAGCTGGACGTCAGCTTCGTACGGCCGCTGCTCGGCGCTAACGCAGAAGACAAGGAGAAGAAGGAGTCGAACTTGGAAAGCAAGCGGAGCAAGTCTCTGAGCAACGCGAACTCCTTGGATTGCAACGAGGAGGCTGTCAAGAAGGACTTGAAGAAAACGAGGTCGAACCCCGTGAGGAACGAGAGCTTCTTGAGCGATAAAGACGGCGGCATGACTGTGGAAGAGAGCGCCAGCCCCAAACAGGACAGCAGGTCCTCGCCAGATAACCAGAGATCTGAATCTCCCAAGCCTGGATGCAGCAGTCAGCCAGACCTAGGTAAGGATCCCAGAAATCAAAAACTACTTTTTAGTTAAAATAACGTCTATTTCACGTTCCAAACAAGTCATATGTCTGCCCTAAATACCATCACAGATATGACATCCTAAAATAACGTTATTTTGATGTGAAAGTTACGTTATTTTTAGGATGACATAAAATAACGTTATTTCAATATCCAAATCACGTTATTTTAGGATGTCATATTTGTGATGTTATTTAGGCCGGACATATGACTTGTTTGGGACGTGAAATACATGTTATTTTAAATAAAAAGTAGTTTTTGCTTCCTGGGATGCGCGCCACTCAGACACCGAGAAATCCAATTACAACTCCATTTTAATAAACACTTCAGCACCGTGGGGCTGCGTTAAATGAACTTCACAGCGTAACATTTTAAATCCCTGGCAAGTTCTGTTATTGGGATGATACATGGCCATAGGGAATTCTTTAAGTTGCTAGGATACTTAGGATGCGTTGTTGATATTATAATATGTAAAATATTTGGTCGACTGGAATCCACTTCATTGTTTTGTCACACTGTGTCAGCAAACAGAAAATATAATTTCCCCATTATCCTAATTTCCAGATTCGTCTTCGCCCAGGTCCGGACGCAGTTCCGACGCCAACCGCGACGATCTGTCGGCGCTGCTGCCCTCCCCCTCCAACTACCCCAAGTCGGCGACCACCATACACCGGCTCAAGGTCGAGAACGAGCGCCTGCACGCGGAGCTGACCAGACTCAGGAGGCTGGTGGTCACCGGAGCCACGTCGGTTTTGAACGACAAAAAATCGCCCACGGAAAATGCCGATCCCGAATCGGCCGCCCAACAGTTGGAAATGGAGCTGCAGCTGGCCAAAGAGGCACTGACAAGTAAGTAGAAAATGTCACAATTCATAAACAATAGTAAATTCGAAAGGAAACGACGTACACGTCATCAATCAGTTGATCGGGCACGGTTGTCAATGTGATGCTAAAATCATTGCATAGGGTCCCTAGATTTGGGACCTTAGAATACCAAAATGTCAAAAGTCGGAGTTTTTATAACCTATATCATGCACCGCCAAAAGTATGATTTTAGACATATTTAAAGATATTTTCATCAATAAAACCCAGAAATTTTGCCATCTAAAGTCAGTTTTTGGTATATACATTCTTATTTTATGTATCCAACATATTCTGTTAAATATTCTAATGTATAATTAATAATAATCCTATTTACCTCTCTAACAGCTGTTAAAGGTAACAAAAGTCCATTATTATTCCTTTCTATCCCAAAATAGCGTATTAAGGATGATACCATTTCTTGACTCCGACTATTTAAATGCTTCGGCATTTTAAATATAGGAAAAACGATATATAACAAGCACAAAAACGGCAATGAAAACTTAAACGATATAAAATTTACACCAACAACAAACAAAATAAACGAAATAAAACACAAACTAAACGAAATATTCAAAAAAATAAAAATTTTGAAAATGATAAACAATTTTATATCATGATAACTTTTAATAATGTTATGGTCAGTAAGTACTAAAAAGTGCTATTGCTACTCTCAGACGCTGCACCTTACATGGTTAAAGCCGGCGCAGGGTTAAGATTAATGTACAGTTAGGGAAAATAGTAATTTCCATTTGAAAAACACACTTTATTACTTGTTGCACGTTTTTGTGTTAAAATTAAAAATATATATTTAAAATTTCTATATTCGGTTTTTTAATTAAATTTACTAGGATTTATCAAAAAAAGTTTGATATAATTATAATAAAAAAGTTAACATACATATAAAACTATAAAACATAAACATACATAGGTATGTATAAAACTATAAAATATATATTATATATTTCCTCATAATTATTTATGTATTAAAATTAAAAAAATATATTTAGAATTTTTATATTTAGTATATTTTTAAATTAAATATAGTATAGGATTTATCAAAAACCGTTTGATATAATTATAATAAAATAATTAACATAAAAAAGATAAAAATGTTGGGGAAATATAGTATTTAATAGTAATAAATATTATGAAGAGTTACTGGAATGGTTAAAAAGAGCAATGTGGAATATAAAAAATTAAGAAAATTAAAATGGTTTGGCGGTACCAGTTACAGAACTGTTATGTTATATTAATAATAGTCTATTATACAGTTAAATTTACAATTACATAAATAAATGAATAAATGAATAAAAACATTCCTATGAAACTATATAAAAAAATGGTCCTTTTAAAATATAAGCTCTTATTATTAAATTTACAGATCCCTCATTTTTAAAGTACTTTGAAATTGTATAACTCGTCAACGGATTAGTGGACCGATAAAACTAAAACAAATTTTAGTAGGGAAATAAAGGCTTTACAAATCATTTTATCATAAATTAACTCTTTTAAAAGGTATTCAAGGTAATTTATATAAATTTTCCTACTTTTTCAGCGAAACTGAATTTATGGTAAAATTTAGTAGTAGGTACCATTTATTTAAGAAAATATTCTGCTAAAACAATGCCCAAAGAAATGGTTAATAATAACATTAATAATTATTTAACATTTCTTTGCGTAAAATATAAATAAAACTCTAAAATGTTATATTAAAGCATAGGTATATTTTATAAATACATTACTTTTATGTCATACGTAACACACATTGCTTTTTATGCATTAATAAAACTTCCATTATCTCCGAATCACGAACCTATTAGTCAAACTTTAAACTTTACATGTTGGGCGAACATTATTTACGGAATCGCGAAAAGTTTTCCGTTAACTTTACCGATCAATATTTTGCTGATTTCAGCTCTTAAATCAGACAAGAGACGTCTGAAGGCGGAGAAATTCGACCTACTTAATCAAATGAAGGAACTGTACACCACCTTGGAAGACAAGGAAAAAGAATTACGAGACTTTATTCGAAGTTACGGTCAGGTACGTAAGTTATTGCACTATCTCTCACCGCTCTTCATCTTATTTATATCTTTATAAGGGTACGTTATTACATGTATTTCAGGTCAGAGATAGTGATACGTCTCTGCAGCAATTATCGACGGAAAGAGAGGAGCGCGAGAGGGAACGCTGGAGCCTTTTGAGGCACGCCAGAGACGAAGCTGAAAGAAGCTTGTCTCTGGCAGCGCAGCTGAATGCAAAGGAAGTTCAGCTGCAACAGGCACAAGAGCAATTGCAAGAAGTAAGTACTTAGTAGTCATTTATATTCAAATTTATCTCTTGCCTTATTAAATATGCATTGACGAAATACATGTGTATCAAAGGGATGTTTTGCACAAAATAAAACGTTTTTTCTGCAAGGCTCGTCGACAGCTCGCCTCCAGCGGTTGTCTATCGGACCAGGAATCTCTCGCTTCTCTCCCCAGACACTCCATTAACGGGGGGGCGCTTACCCCGGGTTCTGGGGGCCTGCTTTCGGGGCATCACGGTCTGGGTCTGCTACCGGGCGATAGAGGGAGCTGTAGTGCGGATTCCGGGGTTCGCGTGAGTTCCGACAGAGAGAGCGGCGCCACCTCAGTGGGCGGAAACTTGTCGGATTCGACTACAGATGGCACTCCGACTATCACGGTGGAGAACAGCAACAACCGCGATTTGGACTCGATTTCTTTGATTTCCAACGTACCGCCGCCGCATTTGTACCAACGTAAGTAGATGAGTCAATCCAAATGAAAACACCAAAAGTGAATTTAAAAGTGATAATGAAAAAATTTGAGAATGATCTTTTAGGTTGCCGTTGCCGTTTTAATTTTTAGTTGCTTTATTTTTAATCGGCACCCTTTAGAAACCTGAAATCGTGTCATTTTCTTACTCTCTTATAAGAGGCTAAAACTTTTTTCTGTGGCAATTATTGAAATGATTGTAATTTTATTTTACTGCCTAGTAAGTAAGTTTTCAATATTAATTATTATTATCTAATTAGTTCATCTCATAAAAGAATGGTAAACCACTAAAGATTTGTAATAATTTGCCAATTTTTGTGATTTTTGTCTGGCTCCTGTGCCTATTCTGCTAAATCTAGTTGCTTTTTTTCAGGTATCAAGTACTTATACAATAGAAAACGTAACTATTATTTTAAGTTTTTAGACCATCATTTTTTTTATTAAAAAAATTATTGAAACTTGAAAATTTTCAAAATTAGCCAATTTTGGCCTCAGAAATCATTATGTTGAGGAAAAAATAAAAATCTGAAACTTTCAGGAAATGTAGTCCCCACCTTCATCTTTTCAGTCTAGTTAGTCTTGTTTTGTTATTTTTATCCATGTAAAAAATATAATATTTTTTTTATGCACTTAAGAAGCGATATTGTTAGTTTTATTTATAATTTAAAATTTAGATGGCTTTGGCTTTGAAGAAATGTGCACAAATAATATTTATGAAATATTTTTGACAGTTCTGACATTTCTCTACCAAACATAAATTGACTTGATACCTGAAAAAAAATAACTTTCTAGATTTATTAGAATAGGCACAGGAGCCAGACAAAAATCACAAAAATTGGCAAATTATCATGAATCTTTAGTGGTTTACCATTCTTTTGTGATATTAACTAATTGGATAATAATAATTTATACCGAAAACACACTTACTGAACAGTAAAAAAAAATTAAAATCATTTCAATATTTGTCACAGAAAAAAAGTTCTGGACCACTAAAAGAGAGTAAGAAATTGACACGATTTCAGATTTCTGTTGTAAACAGTGTAAACACAATTTTGTATTTTAATAATTTTAATATTTATTTAACAAATTTTTAATACAAGTGGTCACTTCGAAAGAAAGAGAATTAATAAATTATTCTTATATAAACATTAGTCTGGATTTTGTGTGGGATCGTTTTTTTAGATTATTAATAATAATCTAAAAAAACGATCCCACACAAAATCCAGACTAATGTTTATATAAGAATGTCCTTAATCAGCATATCGATAATAGGTTACTGGTGCTTTCAGCCGAACGCCCGATGACATCATCTGGGTCGATTTAAGTTTGTTTAACATTTTTAAAGGGTGCCGATTAAAAGTAAAGAATCCAAAAATTAAAACGGAAACGGATTTTCATATTTGATACCTAAAACATCATCCTCAACGTAACTATTATTTTAAGTTTTTAGACCATCATTTTTTTTATTAAAAAAATTATTGAAACTTGAAAATTTTCAAAATTAGCCAATTTTGGCCTCAGAAATCATTATGTTGAGGAAAAAATAAAAATCTGAAACTTTCAGGAAATGTAGTCCCCACCTTCATCTTTTCAGTCTAGTTAGTCTTGTTTTGTTATTTTTATCCATGTAAAAAATATAATATTTTTTTTATGCACTTAAGAAGCGATATTGTTAGTTTTATTTATAATTTAAAATTTAGATGGCTTTGGCTTTGAAGAAATGTGCACAAATAATATTTATGAAATATTTTTGACAGTTCTGACATTTCTCTACCAAACATAAATTGACTTGATACCTGAAAAAAAATAACTTTCTAGATTTATTAGAATAGGCACAGGAGCCAGACAAAAATCACAAAAATTGGCAAATTATCATGAATCTTTAGTGGTTTACCATTCTTTTGTGATATTAACTAATTGGATAATAATAATTTATACCGAAAACACACTTACTGAACAGTAAAAAAAAATTAAAATCATTTCAATATTTGTCACAGAAAAAAAGTTCTGGACCACTAAAAGAGAGTAAGAAATTGACACGATTTCAGATTTCTGTTGTAAACAGTGTAAACACAATTTTGTATTTTAATAATTTTAATATTTATTTAACAAATTTTTAATACAAGTGGTCACTTCGAAAGAAAGAGAATTAATAAATTATTCTTATATAAACATTAGTCTGGATTTTGTGTGGGATCGTTTTTTTAGATTATTAATAATAATCTAAAAAAACGATCCCACACAAAATCCAGACTAATGTTTATATAAGAATGTCCTTAATCAGCATATCGATAATAGGTTACTGGTGCTTTCAGCCGAACGCCCGATGACATCATCTGGGTCGATTTAAGTTTGTTTAACATTTTTAAAGGGTGCCGATTAAAAGTAAAGAATCCAAAAATTAAAACGGAAACGGATTTTCATATTTGATACCTAAAACATCATCCTCAATTTTTTTTATCAAAATAAAAAATCACAGCAGCGCACCCCATTTGGTGTTTTTATTTGGAATGACTCAGATGTGATTAATATTCGGACTATTCTACTGTTCTTTTCGGATATTACGTATGATAAGATTATTATTAAAAGTCAAATACAACAAATAATATATTTTTGTTGTTCTAGTCTCTGGAAAAGACAGTAGTCCAACTCTGTCGCCTTTAAATGCTAATCATTTCTCTCGTTCGGTAGATGCGGGAATTTTATCGAGGTAACTAAATGTTATATTCAAACATACGATAAAATTAAACAAAACATTTGTTGTGTGTAGATCTGTAGAGCAGCTTAGTTCGCCATTGGAACCGGAACCACACTTAGGTAGAAGATCGAAACCCACAAGGCCTTCGAGCGGTAGAGGGGGCACCTGGGGGAGCATTTCGAGAGTATTCGCAAGATCGAGGCACAGAAATAAGACGAATTCCTTGCAAGAGACAAGTAAGTCAAATCCTCAATATAAAGAGTCTTCTACGACAAATACTTAAATTATTAAATATTTGTATAAAGCGACATCTATAAGAAAATAAAGTAACCATCCCAATAAACATTTTTGACGTAATTTTCACCATTAACATTGCCCGTTATTATGTTTTTTTCCTAACATTAAGGACGCCAGCTTAGTTTAACTAATTTTGGGCCGCTGATTTCAAAAATGTCATTAGTTTTTCTCTAGGACGTCTAAGATTTAAAATAATTTCGTAATAAAATGCTCTGCTCAAAATTTAAGTTTTTTGTTGGTATTTTAATTATTTATTAAATTATTTTGGCTTAAATCATGTACTAAAGTAATTAGTATACGTCAAATAGATCATATTTATCTTAACAATAAGACATTTTAAATGCTAAAACTAAAATTTTAATGTATTTTATGCACGATGACATTATAATATGACAATTATAACAAAAATTCTTTGACGTAAACGTCTTTTTATAGCCCGCGGGCGTCATTATGACCCAGCGGGCTATAATGAAACGTCAAAAATTAAAAACAACAATGTTACACCATTTGATATATTCGAAGTAAGTTTTTTCGTATAAAGATTTTGATTTTTCCGGCAGCAGGCCGCAATTTTTCGCCTTTTCAGCTGCTTCCTCAATTTCATTCATCTTTAAACTTTAAAACTGACTGATCCCTATTGAAAATGCCATATAGAACCCATATTGAATCCGATAAGGAAACGTATCTGGTTCTATATGGTTTTATAGGTCCTATATGGAAAGTCCTGGTTTACATTACGGATTCTATATGGTTGAATATGGATTTCCATTTTAAAAATTTTCATATTCAACCATATAGGGAAACCTATCTGGAAATACATATAGAACAGAAACCAGATAAATCCATATACAACCATATACATGTCTTTATAAAGACATGTATATGGATGTATATGGATTTATCTGGTTTCTGTTCTATATGTATTTCCAGATAGGTTTCCCTATCTGGTTCTATAGTGTTTTAGAGTGTTTTTATCTGGTTCTATAATGTAATCTTCTATCTGGTTCTATAGTGAAATGCCTGTTTCAAATACCTATATTGAACCATATAGAAACCATATAGAATCCAGATACGTGTTTTTTATATGGTTCTATATGGCATTTTCAATAGGGATGTCAGTTGACATTATAATATGACAATTATAACAAAAATTCTTTGACGTAAACGTCTTTAAAAACAATAATATATTAAAAATAATAATATATTAATCGTGCATAAAGTTTTGTATGCATTGCTGGCATAACTGGTTTTTATGGTCCTACGACGCTTTTCTAGCCCTCGCGCTAACGCGCTCGGGCTCGAAATAGCGCCTCGGACCATAAAAACCTTATTATGCCCTTAATACATAAATAACTATTATGTAAAAAAACAACCATTATTTGACGTTTTTTGACGTTTATTTTAATTATTAAATTGAAAGGGCAACAAAGTAAACAAGTTTCAGTATTTTTTATCGAAATTAAGCCCTCAAAATTTAATGCATTGCATAATTTTGCTTCTTTCTACCTTAAATTTATTAAATCGTATCAAATATCAAATTGTCGTATATTTTTTGCTGCAAATTCCACTTTCCGCTATACCCATAGATATCTACCAATGGTCTAGATTTGCATTTACTTGGTGAAATCGTTCTCCATGTTCATCAGTTCGGCAAATTTATCAAAAAAAAAAAATGTATTTTAAATGACATATTCGCTAATTCTTTGCAAACTGGAAAGCATTTTTTCAATGAATTGGCGCCAATTTTAGACCCGATTTGAACCAAGAACATTTTCAATGACAGCTTTAACACTGCCATATGCGACAAGCTCGTCAACTTTGAGAGCATTTTTGAATGCTTGATCCTTCATTAAACGTCGTATATCAGGTACATTTAATATTCCTGCAAAATTAAAGTAGTAGGTATATCTCATAAAATTACCGTAACAAAAACAAAACAAATTTACAACGACGACATAAATGTTCGTCTCCTTTCTCTTTCTCTGCCACTTCCATTTCCTGCTCTTTTTTCATTTTTGGTTCTTAAAATCACTTTCAAGTAAAAATACAATTTAAAGTTTAAATTTTAAATGTCAATAATTAATAGATGCACGTTAGTGTGCTTGAACGAAAAAGTAGATAAAGGCGCCTTTATGCTTCAATTCGATATTAAATTTTGATAAGACTTAATAAATAAGATTCGAGATTAAATTTTTGGGTACTTTAGGGATGATGTGAATAAAAACATATCAAATAATAGTCAAAGAGTAATGCTTATGCCGAAACCCATTTACTTTGTTGCCTTCAATTTAAAAAAACCTAATTAAAAAAACGACACAAACATTTCAAAAAATGATACTTTTTACCAGAAAAACATTATAATTTTAGTTTTGGTATTTAATAAAGCACTTCTCTGCAAAAAAGTGCTTTATTAAATACCAAAACTATATAATATATAATACTACTATAGTAACGGCTACAATGGAACAAAAAATTTTTCTATTTAACATTTATCTACCGATGACTTTGTATGGACTCCCTGTATATTTTTGACAAAAAACGTCAAAAATATACTGAACATCCAAAATAGATTCAAGGCAAAATAGTTTAATAAATAATCAATAATCATATAACACAATGAGTGACAATAAGATATAATTACTAAATTAAATGCGTTTTTAAGTAGTTTGTATTCCTATCTTGTATGTTGTTAGTTCACAATTCTGTGTATAATAATGATTGTAAAATTTTTATCTACCTACTTAATATTGACCTGTCCTACACATTTATATTGTCAAAAAGGATTAATAAACATTATTATTATTATTATTATGACATTTGACAACTGTCAACTAACTTAAAACTAACTTCAGCCCGTGACTAAAGGGCCATAAATCCACCACTTGTAAATGTGTATTTGAAAGGTCACTTAGTGTCATGGTGGGTTATTTTTTTATACATTTGTTTAGGCGAGCATCCCTACGAACCCTACCGAAGCTGGTCGCCATTGACCGAGGAAGGTTACGCAGAGAAGCTTCGCTTGCTCCGCGAAGCTAGTTCCATACCGATGGAAAGATGGCGCGCACCGACTGTCTTGGCTTGGCTCGAGGTCGCCCTGGGTATGCCCCAGTATGGGGCCAGATGTGCGGAAAACATTAAAAGCGGAAAGGTACTGTTCGTTGATTAAGTAATATTTTTCGTTTTTCGTCCAGACTCTTTGGGTATTTCGACAGAATTACTTGAAAAAGTACAACTTTGGTGATATGTTAAACAAATATTAGAAATATTCCCCAACTAAAGAAATTTTCAGTAAATAATATTGTATATTTACTAAGTATGCACAATTATTTTATTATATCATGTTACATTTTTATAGACTTATATAACAATTTAAAATTAATTTAATTTATTTTCAAAACGCAAGTAAAGTTAAAATATAACCAGTTTTTTTTTAGTATTTTGTAATTTTTGGTCAGGAACTTTTATGACATTCATCCGGCAAACATATCTTGCCTATACGTTGTGAAGAATTCTTATAGTTACCTCATATAATCAACAAGGGATCTGTATGAATACAAACCAACGTAGGGTAAACCACATATATAGTTATTGGACACTTAAGGAATATTATTTATTTAAAATTTATATAATATATAACATATTATGCCGTTGTTTTAAAGATTTTAGTCTTTTCTTATAAATATATAAAAAGGATTGTTTGTTAAAGCTTTATTTACGTTTACTTAAAAATAAAGAATATTTGAATTTTTAATAGTAGTTTTATAAATACATGCAAAAAAGTATAGTTATTGGACATTTTATATAGTAATTGGACACATGGACCATAGTTATTGGACATACATTTTTTATATAAACATAACAACTTTTTATCAAATAACATAAATTGTTAAATATTTTTTAAAGATAAATTGCTGTTTTAGGTAATTTTTTTTATTTCGTTTTTATAAATATCATATAATTCATATATTTCTTTCTCGGATTCTTGATCCCTTTTCTGGATTCTGAAGGTAACTACTAGTTCCTTGGTCTGACTTCTGAAATAGTTTGTTGCAAATATCATTAAGTGTGGTATCTCTAGTTTGTGAAGCATTTATAATGTTTAGGCCGGAACAGGATGATTTAAATATATCTAATATTTTTTCTGGTGGTATGTTAAAAGTATTTTCCGAATTTATTAATTTTGTTACCATTAGTTTTTTATTATCTCTATGATGCACTGTATTTAAATCACTGTTATTCTGCAAGATGTCCTGTGACGAAGAATTCACTATATTACTTACTCTCTAAAAATGGATTAGTCAAAAATGTCATTGCGAAAAAGCAGCCACTAATAATTCTCGTCAACAGCAATTTGTATCCAAGACATTTAGCAGTCAATTCCTATGAAATATTATTCGCTGAATCCGAAAAAGCCGTCAAAAGTTATAAAAGTAAAACAGTTTTTGAAATATAATCAATTTTACATATAATATGGAATTGACTGTATCTCAAAAACTGTACAAATACAACATCTCTGAATAATTCCAGATATATGTTTTAATCGCTATAGGTATACCTACCATTTCTCTGCAAAAAGTCCTATTAACTCTTCCAGAAGACTCCCAAATCTTGCTATTAAGACTTATTCTGACTTTTTCCGACTTAATAAGTCTTATTCAAAGTTTTTAAGAGAATTTTACTACATCGTTGGCGAAAAGTACTTTGTGTTTTGTTTTGTTTTTGGGGAATATTACTAATATTTAATTGCTTAAGTATACAAAATAACGGAGATAAACCCAGAGAGTCTGGGCTTGTTTTACAAAGTACACTTACACGTAACCCAAGAAATACAAAATTTAACGAACGAGCAAAATTTTTTTTGTTTATTTTTTTGATTGGCATATTGGGTTCGGAAAAGGGTGACTTTATAAATCTTATAGATTGGTCCTTTGCATGGTCAGGTCCTGTTAGAGCTGAGCGATCTGGAGCTGGAATGCGGTCTAGGTATTACGCATCCGATGCACAGGAAAAAATTGCGATTGGCCATTGAAGAGCACAGGCATCCGGCGTTGGTACGTTACCCGTGCATCGCGCAACTGGGGCACACTTGGGTGTCCAGCGAATGGCTGCCAGACCTTGGGTTACCACAGGTGAGTCCAAAGTGGTTGTTTTCTGTGTCCCACTAACAATGAATCTTTAGTATTCCGAAAACTTTGCCAACAACATGGTGGACGCCAGAATGTTGGAGCATTTGAGCAAAAAAGAACTCGAAAAGTATTTAGGAGTGACCAGGAAATTCCATCAGGCTTCTGTTGTTCATGGTATCCACCTTCTGCGCATCATGAAGTATGACCGACAGGTAATTTTAAAGTTTTTATATATATAATATTTTTATGCTTTCGCATTTTAAGGCTTTATCTGTAAGAAGACACCAATGTGAAAACATGGATGCAGATCCTTTAGTTTGGACCAATATAAGATTTATAAGATGGGCCAGGAGCATTGACTTGGGCGAATACGCTGACAACTTAAAAGGTGAGTTTTGTTTTTTAATAATAGCGGTAAATAAAAAAATAAAGAAAAACCATTGTTTATGAAATTAAATTAATTATTAAAGAAGGAAAATTTTTAGTTTTTAATAATATTTTGATGATTTATAGTAATTAAAAGACTTTTTAATGAGGGTTTGATAAAATTAAAAAGTGTTTGAGGAAATTTTTTTTGTTTATTCTGATTTTTGTAACTTACAAAGGTCATACAGAAAAAATATCGGATATTTTTGTAGATAATTGAACGCTCTACAAAAAAGGTTTCTTTTTATTTTTTGCTAAACTAATTGGTTAAAAAGTTGTTAAAGATCAAAGTTCAATTTACCATCATTTTTGCGGTATTGCAAATTTTTTTATTAATTGATTTTGCGTTAAAAATAAATATGTATTTATTTACAATATTGTTATTGAATTATTTTCACAATCGTTTGGGATTCAAAAAATAACGACCTTCTTTTTTGTTATTAAAATATACTTAATTGTACCTATTAAGTCTTATTTAACACAGTAAAAAATAAATATTTCTTTGCAATAAAAAAGTTTTATCCGAAATCGGCAGCAAAGTAGAACTTTACTGCCGATTTAATACGAATATTGTATGCAACCCATTATACATTTTAAGATGTGTCTACTGCTCCTCAGCAGCAACTAAATAATATTTTAAAAAAAGCAAATATATAATAACCGTCGCAACAAACAGTATACGTAGACACTTCCTACATTCAAATGACATTTTATTCGATCATCAATTGTAATTTAAATTACATTTGATTTAATCATCAATATTAATTATTAGTATTATTAAATGGGATTTCGGATAAAATTTAATATGCACCTCGGCATTAAAGTCATTTTTTATCACTCACGTGGTTATTTGCCTCGGCAAATTATTTCCACATTCGTGATAAAAAATACGACTTTATAAAGGCAGTATACTGCCTTGATACATAAATAACTATTTAGTGGGGTTTTGATGAAATTATTTTTTTTTGTTTCTTCTGATTTCTGTAACTTAGAAAGGTCATACAGAAAATATATCGGATATTTTTGTAGATAATACAAAGATACAAAAAATGTTTCTTATGATTTTTTGCTAAACCATTTGGTTAAAAAGTTATTAAAGATCAAACTTCAATTTACCATCAATTTTGCCGATTTTTCGGTATTGCAAAATTTTTTATTAATTGATTTTGATTTAAAAATAAATATGTATGTATTTATTTACAATAAAAAAGTTATTGAATTATTTTCGCAATCGTTTGGCATTTAAAAAATAAAGACCTTTATTTTTGTTATTAAAATATAGTTAATTATACCCATTAAGTCTAATTTAACACAGTAAAAAATAAATATTTCTTTGCAATAAAAAAGTTTTTTGATTATTTCCTCAATTGATGCTCTAGGACAATCTAAAACGCATTTAAAAAATAAAAACCGTTATGTTTTTCGATTAAAACATAGTTAATTATACGTAATAAGTCTTATTTAACAAAGTAAAAAATAAAAAAATTAATATTTTTTGCGATAAAAAAATTATTGGGTTATTTCCGCAATTTACGTTGTATAAACATCTAAAAACGCATTTAAAAATTAAAAACCTTTATGTTTTTTGATTGAAATTTAATTAATTATACTTAATAATCCTTATATAATACAGTAAAAAAGAAAAAAATCATAATTATTTTGAATAAAATTTAACACATTAAAAAAAGAAAAAATTAATATTTGTTTGTAATAAAAAAGTTATTGAATTTTTTCCGCAAAACGCTGCTTTTTGAAACAACTTTTCTTCCGCCTGTTTTAGACAGCGGAGTGCACGGGGGTCTTGTGGTTCTGGAGCCGTCTTTCAACGGCGATACCATGGCGACCGCGCTGGGAATCCCCGCCAGCAAAAACATCATCCGAAGGCACCTTAACGCCGAACTGGAGGCGCTAGTTTTGCCGGCAAGGTACGTCATTTTTTGTCAGATGGAGGAACTGCAAGCGGAAGCTGCAAGAGTCATCTCCAAACACGGCAGATAAATAAACAAATCGATCATCAAACTAATAATGACACAACATATTGTTTGTTCTGGGGTGGTCGTCTAAAATTGGGCCAAAAATTCGGGGCGTCCCAGAATTAACAGTTTAAGTCGATAAATTCTGAGACCCCCTTCACTTTAAGTTACTATTGAATCAATCAATAAATTGCTTGATAATGAATGTGTCAATGTGAATTATTTAAATTAGTTAGGCTCTTTTTTAGGTGATAATCCTAAAGCCTCATATTGATGATTTAAAATTGGCGTGTTCAAATTTACGTTGTTTTAATTTTATCTGGGTACAACGAAATTTTACCTCCTACTATGATGACCACAGTGCTTACTACTATACAAAAAATATACATATTTACCTATAGCAAAACTATAAAAATTTTACATTGATTTGTTAAGGGACCAATAATGATTTTAATAACTACTCTACCATAACTATAAAAGACAATACTTTGGTCCAATGTTATCTATTCTTCCCTTCCCAATACGTTTGCCCTCTGGTGGCAATAATTCACTTAAAAAATGATCCAGCGTAAATTTCAACACCGCCACACCTGTTAACAATAAGTTGATGACTGTGCAATATAATTTAAATTTAAAACAATTTTGTTCATGTTATATCTACTAGGTAATCAAAAAATATTTGCCTTTATTCGATTTATAAATCAAATTATGACATTTAATTTATAGTTTTCAAATAAAGGTTGTGAATAATTCGTAATTTTTGAATTTAAAGACATGTCCACGGACACATACACACACAAACATTCTATGTTTAATTTCGCTTCTGCTTTGCACTGCAATTTAATGTACAGCACCACTTTTTTTCGAAATTCCATTTTTTCCAAATCATTTTAAAGGTACACTCAATTCTGTAAATATACATACACATTCATAAAAGAATCATTTTCAAAATTCGGTAGGTACAACATTCTAAATTAGGGTGTACCCTTAAATTATACCAAAATAATACAGGCAAGTTTATTATTTTGTACATAAAAACCGTTTTTACATTTCCAATATTGTTGTTTTTTGTACAATAACTCCATCTATTTGCGGAACACCCTGTAAATATTTTTTACCATTTCCAAGTGTGCAGAAAGGATTGTTAAGATTTGTTTGCCAAATTGAATTTAAGTTACTTAAATATAAAGAGATGTTAACTATGGTTTCGCGTAAAAATCGAACACATTTTGGACATTTGTTTGCAAGTGATGCCAGAATTAAAAATATTAAAAAAAAAAAATTTCATCCATTGACCGCTGTGGTTTTCAGGCCTTAAGTCACTCTACTGTGTTAAAAATAGATAAATTTCGATATTTTGTAATAACATTTTTATTTAAAAACGTATCAATTTAAAATTAAGTTAAAATGTAGACCTTATTAATGGCTATAAATCCACGTATTATTTTTTTAGATTTTAACATACAGGGGGCGCTGGGGACAATTAAATTTAAAATTTCACCATTTTTAAAGGGTTAAAAACTCGAAGAAGCAACGTATATAAATATATATATACTTCTACATGCAAATTAAGTTTCTACAAGAGAAATCATTTTTAAGTTAGGCCTTCAAAGGGCATAATAATAACGTATTTTATCTAGTTTTATAAGATAATCTAGATAGCTATTATATATTATACATTATATATTACATATAATGTATTATATAACATACAATTCTTACATATTTATTTTAAAAAATCGTTATAGATGGAGCTAAAATTACTTTTATTTATAAATTTAAATTTTTTCAAGTTTACTAATTTTGATCATTATAGACTTTTCTCTATGGTAACCTACCATTGGAAGCATGAAAGATAATATGACAGTTCAGTTTATAAGTTGACTGATTGCGTTTCAATTTATAAACTGTACTATAAACTCAAAACATTAATTTATTCAAATGAATAAACTAAATAATAATGATAGACAGTGTCAGCAAGTTAGAAATTATAACCTACTTTAATTTTATTTTTTGCTCCACAACCAAGCTTCAATTTATTTTTTACTCGATAAGCAAGCTTCAATTTTAATTCCAAACTGAATAAAGTAATATTTACCCAATAAATAAATTAGAAGACTTTATTTTTTTTATTGCGATCGCCTATTTATATATAATTTTTTTTTAGTGTTTCGCTTTTTGTAATTAGTTATTTTGCATTTTTTTATATTAAACATAATGCTATACAGGGTGTTTCTGGAGAAACGCAAACGATATGGATTTAGACTATACCTAAATTCAATAGTTTTCAAGATATTAATTTTTTTCGTTAAAATTTTGCTAAATGCAATCAAAAATAGCCTCTAATTTTATTGTTACCTATTAAGTTTGCTGACATGGGGTTGGAATTTTTGGAATATTAAAACATTGTTTAAATAATTTAGTTTTTTAAAGGTTTTTCAACAAATAACTTGAGAAAAACCACTTGAAATTAGGCAAACTTCAAATAATAATAACCTTTTTATTATAAATGTAAAACCCTGTATGTTTTAACATAATCAAATAGAAAATTAAAGAATCTTTTGATTTGTATAATAATAACTGTTTCCTAAAGTTAAAATTTCAGAGACATTTAACAATTTCTAATATTTTCAATACTATTTTGTATCAACAAACCTGAAATTCTACATGTTAAAATATTTGATTGAAAAATTAATAACTCGAAAAATATTGACTTTAGGTAGAGGATATGGTATAGCCATTTTACTCAGAATTTTATTTAGAATTCAAAAATGTAAAAATATATGAGATGTCCGGTTTAAAATAACAAAGTTAAAGATATTTCCGGTAAAACAGGAAATATTATTTTGTTCAAAATAATTTAGGAAAAAAGTCTAAATCGAATAATTTACGCTATTAAAATTTTAAATCGCGATTCCTTAGAAACTTCTAACGGACTACGTACGTGAAACACCCGGTATATTAAACATCATTTATGTGTTATGCTATACTTAATTATTAATAAAAGATAACAATATTTGTATAAAAATGACAAAATGTACTAAACTAAACATTTATGAATAGTGCTACTGCTAATTCAAAACTGATGCTGGCCACAGAAACATCATTTGCATAAAAAAGTTAATATATCAAATAATAGTCAAATATCAATTCATCAACGTGTTATACTGAAATTTATAAAACAAAGTTGCTTCTTCGATTATTTGCCCTTTAAAAATTGTTAAATGTTAGATTAAATTATCACCTGTACGTTAAAATCTAAATAAAATTTTTCATGGATTAATTGTCATTAGTAAGATCTAATTTTTTTCCAAATTTCAAATCGATACGTTTTGAAATAAAAAAGTTATTAAAAAATTTAATTTCTTCATTTTTAACACGGTGAAAAAAAAACAAAGTTGTCAAAGGACAAGATTTTTTTTTTGAAAAAAGTACGGCATTTATATGTAGAAATAAGGTAAAAAAAGTTTCAATCGATTTCTTGAACCCTTGCAAATCGACCGTTCGATCCTTTCGCGAAACCGTAGTTAACACAAAAGTGCTTTTTGCTGATTTCGAATAAACTATGTCCAACAAATGTCCAATAGGTGGACTAATATTGTATTATTTTGGTAAAACGCATTTTTTCTAAATTTCAATGTTTGGATGTTAATGTTAAATATTCTGCATGATCAATGTTAGAATAGAACTTTATAGAAACAAGGTGCTAGACCAACTTAGTGAGTTTAGTACATAAACTAGAAAAAAATATTTTTATAAGAATTGTATATATTCGCCTTTTAAAACACATTTCTCAAACAAATACCCTTTTATAGCGGGATTTAAACACTTCCAATGCAGTCTAGAATTGCCTGTAGGTATGTCCCGAAATTAAGAACATAGAATGCTTGTGTGCACCGCTTAATTCGATGTTTTCATTTTGCACTGTTATGCTAGATCCACACTAGAGCACTATGTCAGGGTGAGGGCCAAAAACCGGGTGCCGGGGGTCACGTTGGGCCGTTCTTTCTCAAGGTCATGCGGAGGGCTAACCGCGCCGCTGCAGCTTAACAAAGATCCTGCCGGAATGGACAGCCGAAAAGGAACCATCAAGGTATGTGCTGGTTCATTTTAGTTGTTAGATGTTGTAAGAGATTTTGGCTTTATTTTAAGGTAAGTGCCAATGAGATGTATACAAAGTAGGGGCACGGTGCTGTTCTGAGAGGTGATTTTTGGAGCAAAATAAAAAAAAATTGACGGTTAATTTTGTTTTAATTGGATGTTTATTAAAAATATGTATGCACACTTTCAATTCTCCAATTAAAACTTGCGATTTTATTTTTTAATAAAAAAATTTTATATCTTTTACTGTTTTGTTGTAATACACGTTTAAAGTTTTAATTTAAGGTTAAATGTATAGTATACATTTATTAAACAATAATTCTAAGGGTGCCACATTCTATTTAGGCCCGATTTATTCATTTTTGATTTATTTGACGAATAATTTCTTTGGATACTAGATATTGCCAAGACATGAAAGTTATCGGCCCGATAAACTTTACTAAAGATGAATAAACCGGTCCTTAGTTAAATGAATTTCTTCGTAACTTTTACTACAATTTTTCATTTTTGTTTATAAAAAACACTTTAAAAAAACTAAACACAAATTATACAATACGTATACTGAAAATGACAATTCAAACGTCAAATAAATTTTTAATAGATCTAAGTTTCATGGCAACCTTTAAGGATATATTAATTAAGGGAACATAATTGTATACTTCAAAGGTTAGATTAAAAGTTTGAACGTTTATTGCAACAAAACAGTAAAATATATAAAAAAAATTGTAAAAACCTTTTTTTTAGTTATGCAAATATTAAATATTTAAATTAAATCGCTAGTTTTAATTTGATAATTGAAAGAGTGCATAATATTTTTAATAAACAGCCAATTAAAACAATTCAAACCGTCAATTTTTTTTTATTTTGCTCTTAAAATTTTAGTTATGACCTAATTAACAAGAATATAAAAAAAATTAGGTTTCACAGAAAGTCCAAAAATCACCTCTCAGAACAGCACCGCGAGGGGTGGTATGAATAGTGTTCAAAAATAGTGATTTGATTCGAATTTTGAATCGTTTCAACAGTTTAAATATGTAGTTCAAAAATTTGATTACTTTGAATACTTCTAAAAAATGACAGATGACAGACGATATTTTTACATTTAACATGAAAAAAAATTTGCTTTAAATCTTACTAATTTTCCTTATAATATAAAAAACCATGAAAAAACCGTTGATCTTAGATAAAAATTGTAAATGATAATTTTATAGTGATTAGTGATTATTTTTGACATTTGCTGATTACAAGTGTTAAAAATTACAAAAAACAAAATGACTGATAACATATGTCTAAAAAGACAGAAGGCAGGCGTTTAAAAAACAGAAAACGAAGGTTCTAAAAAAAATAATGACAAATGTCAGAAACTACAGAAAATATGTACAAAATGGCACAAAAACGTTCAAATATGCTAAATAACAGGTTTTTAACACCTGTACTCTGACATTTTTTATCTCTATCTGTAATTATTAACAGATGTATAAAATGATGGAAGACAGGTGTTAAAAAAGGCAGAAAAGAAAGGTAAAAAATAAAGAATAACTGATAGATGAGACGTCAAAAATAACATATCCAAAATGACAAAAAACAAATGTCCCAAACAACAGATAAGAGATGTCTTAAATGACAGATTGCAGTCGTATCAATGACATTTCAGATGAAATATTTCAAAAATATAAATAACAAGTGTCAATAAAAAATTACTGATGACAGTTTAAAAAAAATGACAGATGACAGGCGTCTAAAAGAACAAGTGTTAAAAATTATAGAAAGCAAATGTCAATAATAACAGATGACAGACGCAAAAATAACAAATGATAGATGGCGAGTGTCAAAAATGACAGATGATAGACGTTATTTTTATATTTAACTTGTAAAAAAACATTTTTAAAAATTTACTAATCTTCCTTATTATAATATTAATATTAATATATATTAATATAAAAAACCGTTGATCTTACATGAAAATTGTAAATGACAATTTTATAGTGATTAGTGATTATTTTTTATATTTGCTGATTACAAGTGTTAAAAATTACAAAAAACAAATGTCAAAAATGACAGATAACATATGCCTAAAAAGACAGAAGACAGGTGTTTAAAAAAAAACAGAAAACAAAGGTGAAAAATGGCAGATGACCGTTCTAAAAAAAATATTGACAGATGTCAAAAATGATAGATAACAAACGTGAAAAATGCGTCATTAAAATGACAACAACAAATGTCAGAATCCACAGAAGACAGGTCCAAAACGACACCAAAATTGTCAAATATGATATATAACAGGTGTAATTTTTAATCTGAAATTTTTTATCTCTCTCTGTAATTATTAACAGATGTATTTATAAATGACGGAAGACAGAAAAGAAAGGTAAAAAATAAAGAATAACAGATAGATGGGACGTCAAAAGTGACATCTCCAAAATGACAAAAAATAAATATCCGAAACAACAGATAACGGATGCCTAAAATGACAGATTACAGTCGTATCAATGACATTTCAGATGAAATATGTCAAAAAGATAAATAACAATTGTACACTTAAGTGTAAATAAAAAATTACTGACGACAGTAGTAAAAAAATAAGAGATGACAAGGACAAGTGTTAAAAATTATAGAAAGCAAATGTCAATAATTACAGATGACAGACGCAAAAATTACAAATGACAGATGACACGTTATTTTTATATTTAACTTAAAAAAAATGTGCTTTAAAATTGACTAATTTTCCTTATTATAAACTGCGCACCACTCAATGTGTCGCGACCAAGTTCGTCCTTTTTCAAAACGACATACCTTTTTTGTTTCTTGAACGATTTTATGTTGGTCTGTGATTTCTGCTAGCCCCATCCTCTGGCTATTCATGCTATAGATATGAAGTTCACGGTTCTTCAAGTAAATTTCGTACAGGGTAAAACGGTCAAAAATTTCAATAACTTCATCCAAGCCCCGTTTGTAAAAAAAAATTTTTTTTTCGTTTTTACTTTGAAATAATGAAGTATTATGTCTTACCTTGAAAAGGTTTTCAATTTTTTCGTATTGGAATCTTAGCAAAGAAATTATGATTTTTTTTTTTTAAAGAGTACATGTAAGGCTTTTTGGTAGGCAATACACTCATCTTTTTAAAACAAGGAGATAAGATGGTGAAAGATTGTGGGCCTAAGCAAAGACAACTTTTTTAAAATGACATTTTGGTGAAAATTTGCGAAAACCAATCCTGAACCGATATTTACGTTCGTGACATGTTTTCTTTATAATTTTGACCTCCTGATTGGGATTCAGTTGTCAAATTTAATTTTCATATAAAACCAAAATCACTAAGAATTCGAAAACAATTCCCGGGTGTTAAATTGCCTACAAAAAAGCCTTTAATGTACTCTTTTAGAAAAAAAATCATATTTTCGTTGCTAGGATTCCAACTCGAAAAATTGGAAAAGCGTTTCAAGATAAGACATAATACTTCATTATTTCAAAGTAAAAACGAGAAAAAAAATATTTTTTTACAAACGGGGCTTGGATGAAGTTATTGAAATTCATCAATCACCGTTTAACATATCACCCTGTAGGAAATTTACTTGAAGAACCTTAAGCTTCATATATATATCATGAATTGCCAGAGGATGGGGCTAAGAGACATCACAGACCAAAATAAAATCGTTCAAGAAACGAAAAAGTTATGTCGTTTTTAGAAAGAACGAACTTTTAGGTCGCGACACATTGAGTGGTGCGCAGTTTATACAAAACCGTTGATCTTACATGAAAATTGTAAATGACAATTTTATAGTGCATTTCATTATCTCCGGATGTAATTTGAACTGTTGCAGGGCTCTCTGAGCCGCGCGCTGGGCCTGTCGAAGAGCAAATCCGAGAAGGACCGCGAGAAGCAGTCGCCCACCTCTAGCTCCGAGGGCTCGTCCGTCGTGAGCCGCATCAGCCCGCCGCTGCTCTTCTACCGGAACTCGCGCAACTCCGGCGAGGAGTCGCCGATCTACGCGCAGCCGTTCGCGCACGCGCACAACCTCTACCAGCGCCGGTCAGAGGACTACGACGCCTACGTGTGCAGCTCGATACGCTCGATCGGCGAGTACGAGGTCTCGAAGAGCTCCAACAGCATCAAGGCCGACCAGAAGGACAACATATCGACCAAAAGCGACAAGTTCAAGCTAATCAGCCACGTGAAAGGCGGCAGCCTGCACCGCAGCCGCAAGCAGCACCGAAGGGTCAGGAGCATCGGCGATATCGACATCATCCACGTCGAAGCCGTTTAGTTTCATTTCGGGTACAAAGTAGTACTACAAGGTATATCCATTAGGGTGGTCCTTAATAAGGTTATTTTCAAATTTCTTTGCTCCCAGGGGCCCAAATACTTCCAAATTGATAAAAAAAAATTCCCTGAAAATTTGAGCTCTTAATATTAACTCTAAGATAGTGCGCATGCCAATCTAAGTTTCCTATGGAAATAACATAGGAAAAATTACTTTTCTTGTTTATAATTTTATAACTTGGGAACGAATGAATTAAAAATTATAAATCATACATACATATTTTTATAGAGAATTTAACGCTCTACAAAAAAGGTCTCTTATAATTTTTCCATTAGTCTATTGGTTTAAAAGTTATTCAACGCCAAAGTTTAATTTTCATATTACTATTAATATTATCAAAGCTTTTTTATGAGGCGCCGTTTGTGTCAAAATTAAAAGTGCTAAATAAACTTATTTTGTTTTATAAATAATTAATTATATGCTTTACTATGGAACGCCGTTGTATTTTTAAGTCTACTATTTTAAATGTTAGTTTAAAATGTAATTCCAGGTCATGATAACATCGAAATACCGAGTAAAAAATATTTTTTACTTAGATTGATATTTTTAATTCCTTAAATTAAAAATGTTATCTAGTCTTGAAAATAAGGATTTATAAAGACCGGTTAATACGTTTTATTTAGTTAGAATTAAAATTATCATGGTATCATTTTAAATTTTATAAATAAAAACGTTTGTTTAATTTTTTCTTACTTTGATATTTGTAATTTAATTCATTTTAAACGTCATCTAATACCTGTAATTCGACATGAATTAAAAATATCATAACGACATTTTAATTGCATTGAATTAAAAATATGCTTTGCATTTATTTGTCATTTGAATATTTTAATTCATTTTATTTTAGAGGTTAATTTTTATAATTCTACCCCAATTAAAAATATCACACTAACATTTTAAATTTAATGAAATAAAAACGTTTGTTGAATTGTTCTGTCACTTTGATTTTTAATTCGAATTTTTCTGTCTAGTTGATATTTTTAATTCGAATTTTTCTGTCTAGTTGATATTTTTAATTCGAATTTTAATGTCTAGTTAATATTTTTTTAATTCGAATTTTTCTGTCTAGTTGATATTTTTAATTCGAATTTTTCTGTTTAGTTGATCATTTTAATTCGAATTTTTCTGTCTAGTCGATATTTTTTTTAATTCCAATTTTTCTGTCTAGTTAATATTTTTAATTCGAATTTTTCTGACTAGTTAATCATTTAAATTCGAATTTTTCCGTCCAGTCAATCATTTTAATTCGAATTAAAATGACTACTTGACGAAAAAATATTTATATTTTTTGAATTGATTTGATTTAAAATGAGTACTTAATGCTTTTTATTTTATTTAATTTCGCGATTAAAAAATGCAACGGCGTTCCATACTTTACCAAATAATTTTTTTATATAATAATTTAAAAAAAAAAAAATTTTTCTAAAAAATTTTATAAAATAATTTCTTTATAAAATTATTTTTTTATAAAATAATTTTTTTTTTAATTATTTTTTTATGAAATAATTCTTTTTATAAAATTATTTTTTTGATTTTTAGTTTTGTTTTAAGAGAATTGATTTATTTATTTTAATTTGTTTTCAAGAGAATTATTTTATTTATTTATTTTAGTTTTTAACAAGTGCTTTATTATAAAAAACGTTTAAACATAAAGAATTCTTGTTAAAAACTAAAAATCAAAATAAATGTAGATAAAAAAATTAATGAATTCATGAATAAAAATAATAAATTATTATTTTCAATCGTTTCCCCAAATTGCGTCAAACAAAAGCCCAGTCCGTCATAAAATTGTATCTGGGGAGGGGCGTTCGGGTTTACTCGGGTTTACTCGAGTGTCTACAAACAAATAGAGATGGCTGCAGTAAAAATTAATTTATAAATGCGCCCGTCGTCTTTTATTAAATAATTTTTGATTCGAATTGAAAATTATTTTATAAAAAAATAATTTTACAAAAAAGCATTACTTTATAAAAAAATAATTTTATAAAAAAATTAATTGGTAAAGCATATAATTAATTATTTATAAAACAAAATAAGTTTATTTAGCACTTTTAATTTTGACACAAACGGCGCCTCATAAAAAAACCTTGATAATATTAATAATAATATGAAAATTAAACTTTGACGTTGAATAACTTTTAAACAAATAGAATAATGGAAAAAATTATAAGAGACCTTTTTTGTAGAGCGTTAAATTCTCTATAAAAATATGTATGATTTATAATTTTTAATTTATTCGTTCCTAGTTATAAAATTATAAACAACAAAAGTAATTTTTCCTGTTATTTCCATAGGAAACTTAGATTGGAATGCGCACTATCTTAGAGTTAATATTAAGAGCTCAAATTTTCAGGGAATTTTTTTTTATTAAATTGGAAGCATTTGAGCCCCTGGGAGCAAAGAAATTTGAAAATAACAGTATTAAGGACCACCCTAATATCCATGTTTTATATACTCTAAGGTAAAGCAAATTACAAACTCAGTATTTATAATTCATTTTGCACCACATCAATATTTGCTCAATACAATTTGGTAGCTTGTTTTTACTGCATGATTTTTAACAAACAATAAACCAAAGAATATTTAAGCTTATATAATCTTGGATGATTTTTAACAAACTATTTATTGTGTACCTAAATGTAATGGTGTTATTTGTACCTAAGATAGTCATAATTAATAAATTATTCATTTTTTTTTAATTAATAAATGTTTTGTATTAAGTTTTATTTATTTATTAATATTAATGTGATGATATGTTTTAAACAGTTAAAAGTCAATTTAAGTACCTAATTTTATTATTATATTATTTTATTTATGTATTGAACTGTTAATGTTTTGTTAATTTTGTTCTTTTAATCAAATAAATTATTCGTTTATTTATCTTTTGGGGTTTTATTACACAAAAATGACAAGAGGTTTATTTTGAAACAATTATTAATATTATTTAAAACTATTTAGATACAAAACAGTTCCTAAATTTATAGTTTGGGTTTTAGAGGCTTTTTAGTTTTTTTCTTACTCTCCACTGGACCTTTCCTGAAAAATATGAATAAATTTGGAATTTGGTAAAATTGTTTTATTATTCTCACTTTTTTCCCAATTTTTTTGCTTTTGATTTATTTGGAGTAACTTCTGAAGAGTTACTTTTTGCATTTTTAGTTTTTTTAACTTTTTGAGAGTTCTTTTTTGCAAAGGCACCTTTTTCTTTCCTGAAATTAAAGAATTTCGTAATATAAATAAATTTAAGATAATTTTAAAATACTTTCCTTCTTCTAGTATCTCAAAATACTGTTTTTTAAATAACAAACACTTTTTAGTAAAAAAACCCGCAAAATAATAATAAAAATAATCATACCTTTTAGCAGGTGATTTCCCTGTAATGCCACCTTCTTTTTTAGACTCATCATATTTTTTAAATCTGTAATATAAAAAAAATGTTTTTTAATTGAAATAAAATTATAAAATTCTTACTTTCTGAGTTTCCTAACTTTAGTCTCTATATTGGCTCTCTTGGGCGCGCTAACCTCCAATTGTTTTCTCAGTTTTTTCGGTTGTTTTTTTAACGTCAACATGTATGGTGGCACTTGGCAACCGGATTCCCTCAGGACATGCGCAATACTAAAAAAACGTTATTAAATTAAAAATAAAAAAATTAAAAATATTTACCTTCGTAAATTGACTGTGTCTTCCAACGTAAAGAAAGTTATAGCTTCTCCTTTTCTACCGGCACGACCTGCTCTACCCACTCTATGAACGTAAGATATTGAGGATGGTGGAAAATCATAGTTAACTACGAGATTAACGCCTTTGAAATCCACACCTCTTGCCATGAGTTCCGTACAAATCAAAACCCAGATTTTGCCTTCTCTAAAACTTCTAACCGTATTATCTCTCTAAAAAGAAAGCACAGGAAATAAATTACAATAAAATTTATAAAATATAATACTTGTAACTGTGTTCTGTCAGCATGTATAGCATCCACATTGATGCCATCATAGATTAACTCATTAAAAAGTTGTTGTGCCCTATCCTTACTCTGCACAAATACCAACACTGGAGGATTTAAACCTTGCCTTATAACATCCCTGAAAGCCAATAGTTTCCCTTGCTCATTGCCAACAAATACCAACTTTTGATCCACTAAATCCGTGGCGGCATTTCTACAAACAAAAAATACAAAACCCTCGAAATTTCGGTGTTTTGTTTTGCGCACCTTTGTCCCACTGTAACCCTGACAAGCCCCTTCATGTTGCGCACGCACCATTTGGCAACAACGGGCGTGTATGTCGCGCTGAACATTGCAATCTTTTTGGTAGTCAGTGTACAAGCGGCGATTATTTCGTCGAGTTGTTCTCTGAAACCGCGGTTTCCAGATTCGAAAAGTTTATCAGCCTCGTCTATAACAACCCACTCAATACTAAAAATATTAGGTTTACTTAAATTGAAATGTTTTTTTATATTAAAGTTATTTTACTTTGCTAAAGATAGAGCTGGCGGATCCTGTTTTAACAAATAACAGATTCTGTTTGGGGTGGCAATCAAAATATCTGAAAAATAATACAGTAAGTTTAAGAAATTTGGCAACACTGTGTAACCCTAAATATAGACAGTTTGGTAAAGAATATCTTTTTAGAATTTCTTAAGAATTTGTAGTATCTAATTTTGATATTATAACTTAAAACCCTCAATTGGTCTATGAATTATTTATCTAAAGGTAAAAGGCCTTAGACCATTTATTTATTGACACTTCTATCTAAAGTATTCCTATTATATGCTTTAAGCACCGTGTTTTAAGGTTTTAAACAAACATACAATTCAGTACAGTACAATAACGTACTCCTCCTTTGTGTAGTCTTCTTGGCTCTAACCTTAGATTATAAAAATCATGGATATAACTTAAGTAGTCGGTATGACTCGCAAAAATAAGAAGACGAACTTATACAGTGTGTCCGTAAAGTCCCGGAACATGTGATTATTTTGAAAACGGTAATTTTTTTAAAAAAACGCTGAAACACGTCAACTTTGTTATTTTTCTAGCAATATTTTAGCATATGTAGTTGTTAAAAATTCTGCCGCGTGGCGGCGCCACAATCAAAGTCAGTTTTTTTTAAATTGCAACCCTTTATTTTTGTTGCATTTTTGGATAGCTACCGTTGTCCTAATTACATTGATGTGCCACATCTGGGGGGTTACATAAGAAAATTTTTGAGAAAATCAGGTTTTTGCCGCCGAATGAGATTTTGGTATTTTGTCAAACTTACACAACCTATGCGTTGCTTAATGTTTTTTGGAAAGCCAATCAGAGCAGTTGCTCAAAGTGTACACCGTAAACTATTTGGCAATGGAACAGCCTGTCTACAAACGAGCGTTGTACGTACGTACGTACGCCAGTACCGCTGAAGTGATCATCTGGATCTCGGCTTGAATGCGGTGTCTTAGGTCGTCCAAATTTTAAGGCCAGTTTACATAGACGCGGTTTTTAAGACGTCCCCATAAAAAGAAGTCTAAAGGGTTCAAATCGGGCGATCGCGCTGGCCACTCAATTTGACCCCTTCGACCCATCCAGCGATTGGGAAAGACCTGATTTAAATAATCCCTTACTAGCAATGCATAGTGCCCCGTAACAGCCAATAAGTTCGTCAAAACCAAAATCTCAATCAGCGGCAAAAACCTACTTTTCTCAAAAATTTTCTTATGTAACCCACCACATGTAGCATATCAATGTACTCAGGACAACGGTAGCTATCCAAAAATGCAACAAAAATTAAGGGTTGTAATTTAAAAAAAACTGACTTTGATTGTGGCGCCGCCACGCGGCAGAATTTGGAACAACTACATATGCTAAAATATTGCTAGAAAAATAACAAAGTTGACGTGTTTCAGAGTTTTTTTAAAAAAAATACCGTTTTCAAAATAATCACATGTTCCGGGACTTTACGGACACACTGTATATACTTGTATGTTTTAAAGCTTTGTTTTCGATACAAAGTTAGAGGTAAAAATTTAAACAAAATATTTTTTATTATTTCAAAATTTTCTTGACTGAACTTAATGACTTTTAAGGTTTTTGGCAATGGACAAAGGGCTGTAATATTATTTTTAGAATGAGCAATTAAAAATAGAATTTTTTTAAAATTTTGAAGACAAAAATGAAAAAATTATGGTACAAGCCGATAAACGAAAATAATTTTTTTCTTCAAAATTAAGCAAGAAAAAAGATGCAAAAGACAAAAAAGTCGTATTTTCAATTGCTTAAACTAAATATAATATCAAACTCATAAAAAATCATTGGGGGCCCTAATTTTTTTCATTAACTTCAAAACCCCTGCATCTTGAAAATAAAGCTTTAAAGTAGAGATGGGAATCGGAAAGTTTCCATTTTAAGGAAACTTTCCGTTTTGGAAAGTTTCCAATTGGGAATTTATTTTCATTTTGAAAGTTTCTTTTAAGCTACCGGAAACATTCCTTGGAAACATTCCTTGGAAACTTTCCTTGTTTTTTTCATTTAAATGTCAATTGTTTAACCGCTGATTTTCGTTAAGGCCATGATACAAGGCCAAGAAACTTTGAATAAGAATTTAATGTGTGTTAATTTAAGGCAGAAGAAGAAGTATAAATAATGTAAGTTATGTTACATAACCTCAATAAAGCCGGATTATTCAGCTTCATCACAAAAAACCCTGGCACAAAAAAAATATTTTCGCAATAAAAAAATTTTTTTTGAAACTTTCGGAAAATTTCGGGAATTTTCGATGGAAAGTTTCCGGGAATTTTCGTCAAATGGGAATTTTCCCATCTCTACTTTAAAGTATATATAAGTTCACATAAAATTTTCTTTTTATTATTAAGAGTTCTATCAACTACAAAATTTTTAAGATTAAAATCTAATATCTATATTATCCATGGATAATATAGATATTATAGAAATGCATTTATTACCCATTTTTAATTTAATAAAAAAATACTGTATTTTTATATATAACTTATTTATTAAGTTTATATTTAAATCAAATAAAAGTCTGAATCTATTTAAAATGTCTGACTTCATGACTTCTTCCAACCCTAATTTACAGTTTAAAATTTAAAGATTATAAAATACTGTGTATTTCATGATGAAATAATCACATCCTGTTTTATGATTGTAGTTAAAATTGCTCAAAAATATCCTTTTTACTATGCACTTAACTTTAAAAATCAACTTATTATATTACCTACCATATTTTTTGTTGCTTTTTGGTCCATACTGTGTAAGAGCTTTCTTAATTTTGCTTATAACATGCACCCTAAACTCTCTACCCTCCGACAATCTGAGACATTCTCTTTGAGTCTGTTTTGCTAATTCTCTAGTGGGACACAAAATTAACGCCCTAAAACCTTTTTTCTGTGGACCTTTAAGACCATTTATAATAGGTAGCAAAAAAGCGGCTGTCTTGCCTGAACCAGTGGGGGCACAAGACAGTAATTGTCTTCCCTATAATTTTTTTGCATTATTATTAAGCATAAAGTTATTATAAATGTTGCTTACCTCTAACATTACAGGAACAGCTTGTTTTTGTATAGGTGTGGGTTCAGAATAACCACATTTTTTTAAATTCTCTATCAAATCAGGCGCTATATTAAATTCGTCGAAGGTTTTTGCAGGTTCAGGCACATGCCTACCCACAACGTTAATATTATTTACATTTCTATAATGATTTACCTAAATAATTATTATTTTAACTATAATCAAAATATAACAATTAATTAATAACTCACTGCCTCTTCCACAAGTTTCTTCTTTTTAATATCCTCATTTTCACTGGGTAGTTTACGTTTTTTACCCTGTTTCTTAGCACTATCTGCTTTAAGCCCGCTCAGTAAAACTATAGAATCATTTGACTGATAATTTTTCTTAACCTCAGTTAAACTTTTTTCATCGTCAAACTCTTCTTTTTCTATCTTAATTTCCTTTATCAAACCATTATTTACCGACTAAAAACATTTTTAATTGCCGAAATAAATTTAATTAAATTTAACTCACTTTTGGGCCAGTATTTGACTTCTTAGTAAACCTGGCACCCCTTGTTAACTTCTTAAAAATATCATAAGCATCCATTTTAATAAACAATCAATTCAAACAACTACAAATCTCCATAATACAAATATGTTTTCAAACGTGTTGATCGACTGATAATAGTAAGGTTATGTCGAAATAAGCGAGGTTATGATCGTCTTCTTCTTCCACAATACCAACAAAAAGGCGTATTTTTTGTGATCTTGCAGTTGGTAACATTGTAGATTCAGTATAAACATGTTTTGAAAATTTGTTGGCTTGTTTAGGTAGTTAAATTTTTGATTTTTTATTGTGTTTTTATTAGTGTTTGCTGCAGAACAATGGTTTTGTATTTTTGCTGTAGGTTTTATGAGGTAAGAATAATTTCCTTTTTTAGGACTTTTACCTAGACCCGAGGATTTTAAAAATAAGACAACATATCTAAGTAACATAAATATATATTATTTAAAATATTTTACACAAGATTTGTTTATCTAAAAATTAATATCGTACAAAATAGACTTATCCTAGATTAAAACTAATTTTTTGGATGAATAATACAGAATTATACACAACTGTTGGAAAAAACTATTTAAGAGTGGTGTTTTTCGTAAAATCTGTCATGAAACGTTCGTTGATTATATATCACAGTCCACTAGCTCTTAAATACTTTTTTCTTTGGATGATTTAAAACAGCAGCAAACTTTACAAAAAGTGAATAGCAAACAAATTAATTTGCAGCTGATTTAACTGGAGAGTAACAGCTTATACAAGTGCTGTATAAGATTTACGTTTTGTTTGTGACAAATGATGCCTAAGTCAATGGCACTATGGGTTACCTTCCTTCCCAAAAAAACACTTATTCTAAAGTTTAAAATCAATAAGTATGGAAGAATGATAACTTACAATAACAAATCCGCCATCAGTCAAAGAAACTGCTTCATCCACCACTTGCCAGCAGAATTGCATCAGCCTTACTTTATCGGTGATATTTTGGGTAAAATAGGGCCGAGGAATTCGGTACCGTAATTTCCCACAACTATGATCCTAGGTCACAACAATGGTTTATAATAGCGAGTGTTATGACCTAGGATCAATCCCAGATTACTGCAATAATATTACAATGGCGAGAATGCTGGACCATTGTTCCCAGACAGCATCCAATTCAGAAAGATTTCTGTAGGAAGTCTGTTGAAAAACATCTTACCGAGGTCACAAAATGACATCATTTTTAGGAGCTTAAGATTAAGAGTTCTTGATGAATTCATAAATAAGAAGTCAATTTTTTAACATCTTAAAGTATCTTTTTCTGACCTCTTATTGGAATTAAAATTAGAAGCTACTAAGGGTATCATAAATAAGACTTCAGTTATATGATATCTTACAGTATTTTCTTTTCTTACTTCTTACTGAAATCATATTATTAACTCTTTAAGACGTCAACATGGAGACGTCACAATTATGACATTTTAATGCGATTACTTTCTTCTCACCGCTGTAACTGCTTGTGTTTGATATAAGAAGCGGCGAAGTAGAATTTAGAGCGTGCTCCATACCAAACGGTCTTAGACCTAGGTAAACGGCTACCCGATACTGACGAGCTCCAAAAGAGCGAAACAGGCCTCTATCGGTGCCGGTGAAGAGCACGCTTGAATTTAAACAAAAGTGAGACGAACTAATCGCAATTCCAAAAATAAGCCAATTCGAGCAAATTATTAAAATGATTTTAATAAAATCAATTTAACCAATTCGTTTGTTCTATGGTAATTAAACTTGACATGTCAAAATAAGCAACGATCCAGTATGTAATTTTTTCATCAGTACCCTAGTAGTACTTCTATATCCAAAACTGGGAATTCTAAAGAAGTCTTTTTATAAGTTTATACAGTAAGACTCTTTAAAATGCTTAATTGCGAAGTCAAAGAAAAGGGTTCCTCAAGAGTTCTTTTTTGAGAAGTCAATAAGAACTTCTTAAAAACTTCTTTCTGATGTTGTATTTGACGTCCAAATCATAAAATAGAGCTTATGCAGACTTAATTAAGACGTCATATTGCTGTCTGGGTTGTGACGTGGGTTCATAGTTATGGAAAATTATTACTCTTGCATGTAGAAGATATTTACAAAGCACTGGAAAATGTATACAATACCTGATGTGTGTGTTATAAATTTTCCTGGGTTCTGACGTCTAGAGTTAGTTGAGCCACGCTTGAATAACACAAATTGTTAAATAAATAAAAAAATATTATCTATGGACGATCGAGTTGCACTGTGATGACCATGCAACGTTGTCAGTATCTCTTGTGGTCGCGATGCGGCGGTTGCCTACCGTCGCGCCACTCCCTCCCCTCCTTTTGGTGATGGTGGTGGTGGTGGTGGCGCTTCTTCTCGGCCGCCTTGTTCGCGAACGCTTCGCTCGCGACTAACTCCGAGGCGTCGCGATGTCGATCGCCTCGGTACGGCTCGTCCAGCGTCTCCTTTCTCCTGAGCGGGGAATGGTTGGGGTTCTGCTTCGAGCCGGCTTTGCTGCCGGCGGACTCGTGCAGGTTCTCCCACGCCTGCCGGTAGTACCGGTTAAGGCCGTTGCGCGATTCCGAGCTCGAAGAGTCGAAGGACGCTACGGTGTTGCAGTCGGGAGACGCGCGGTGGCGGTAATGTTTGGCACTTTGGTTTCTGAAACAAAGAATGAAAGATCAAAATTTGTAGAAGAAAAAACACTTGGCTGACCAAAAGCAAAAGGCACCTGCAAAGCTGAAAACAAAGCAAAAAACATACTTGAAACAACTATAACAAAAACAAGTAGGTATTAGAAATATTCCCCAACATCAAAACAAAACAAAAAGTGTAACTAAATCTAAGTTCTTCGCTATTTAAAGATTTATTTATATTCTTAAAGATGTCAACTGTCAACTATCAGCAGACTTGCTTCCTTAACTTCCTTAATAAGTTTAAGGTTGTCAAATCCTATTCTATGACCATCATCAAGTATATGTTGGGCAGCACTTAATGTCTCTGTCCTACCAAATCTAGCATGGGCCAAGTGTTCTTTAAACCTTACTTGGATGGATCGTTTGGTTTGTCCAACATAATATTGTGACAAGAAATATCTTGGACAAACTAAACGATCTATCTTAGTAAGGTTCAGAGAGCACTTTGCTCATACTAGATTCTTGAGGACAGAGAAATCGAGTGTTACCCAACATATATATATATATATATATAAGTATACTTGGTGAAGATCATTAAGGAAGTTAGGGAACCAAGTCTGCTAGACAGATATGAAAGTTTATACTTTTATAAGAATAGAAATAAATCTTGAATTAGCGATAACACACCGGTAGTTTCTCTCTACGTGTTCACTGAAGTAAACGGTCCACGGTTTAGTAAACTGTGTCCGTTCGCGGTTCAGTCGACCTTGGCTTATAACATCGTTGGCGAAAAGTACTTTAAGCCCTTTGTGTTTCGTTTTGGTGTCGGGGAATATTTCTAACATTCCTTTAAAGCAAAAAACACCAGGTGCGAACAAGACCAGTGCGTGCCGTAAAAATTGTAAGAAGATCATGTCATGCAGTAGTGCAGTGCGGGGCCCCGGTACCTTGTGGTGTCCCTGCTAGAGGTAAAACGAGGAGGGCTAGATGGGGTTGCTGAAGTAGCCGGCTCGATGGTGCGAGCGGTAGCTGCGGCTGAACTCCCTGCGGCCTATCTGCTGATCGGGGAACGGTAACGCCAGCAGCGTGTACCACCGGGAAGGCATCGCGCTAGCCGCCGGAAGTCGGTGCGATGACCTGGTGGAGGCGCCCGCACTGTCACCGCACACAAAAAGTTATATCATCTCACATCGTAACTTCATTGGAATCGGTAATTAAGGGAGACCACCCAGAGAACCAAGGTTTGGGAAAGAAGTTAGTCAACTTCTTCCCAACTAAGTTTGCTGTACGATGTTTTACATTAATTGGGGTTCATTTGGACATATCAATTGTATTTTTATCAAGTTTGACCAAGAATGAACATATTTTATGCCAATAGCGCTTCAGCACAAAACCCTGATAGCACAGTTTATTCTAAGAATGTTTTTTAAACCTTCCAGTGGAAATATTCTTAGGAGCATGCTATATATCTTCTAAAGAACATGCTTAAAAGAAATATAGCATAATCCTAAGAATATTCTCACTAGCCTATAGGCAGGTTTTTAGAAGGTGCAAAGTTTAGTGGTAAAAATTAATCCACTCTAAACATATGCTTAGAATGTTGAGAAAGTAATTGCTATAGAAAGTTCATTTAGAAATATTCCTGTTAAGCATATTTAGTTCAGTTACCTATATAATAGTAAAATATACCATAATCTACGTATAAAGGTACCTATACTTAGTATTAAATACTAAGTAAAAAACACAACCCAAAATATTTTTTTATAGTTATTTGTCAAATTAAAACAATATTCGATAACAAAAATACTTTTACTATAGGTATGTAAATTATACGGCTTTTACATAAAATCTTCTATCCAACTTAAATACAATGAAAAAGTGTTTTTTTATGAAGAACTATTTGGTTTTTTCTTTTATGAAGAATTATTTTATAAGGAAATATTTTGTTTTTTTATATTTTATTTTATGCTAATAATAAATATTTATTAATTTGTATACCGATTTTTTATTTCTGAACTAACATTTTTATGTATAATAATCCTAACTATCTTCAACTTCAATCTAATCTGACTTATCCCACAAAATTTTCCAATTTTACTTTTTATGAAATAATGTCATACAACTTATGATTTAGAGGTCAAATTGTTTATTTAATATTTTTAAATAAATATTTATTAATATGTCGCAAAATTTTTTAAGAGGCGTATTTGTCGCCTCCTGAAGAATTTTACGAATGTAGAATCCAACATATTAGAACGTGGGTATCTGACATATTTGGAAATATTCTCAAAAGCTTCCTAGAAGGTCCATAAGAAATCTTCTAAGCTTTTTAGGAAGGTTTTAAGAAGCTTCTAAGAATCTAATTGCATCATTAAAAGGGTATCTATTGAATGTTTTAAAAGTCCCTAAGAACATTCTTAGCAATAAGGGAAGGTTCTAAGAATATTCCATTATTCCGGGTCATATCGTCTTAGAAGATTCTTAGAATCAAATTTTGCTATCAGGGAAACTGCTTGAAAATAAAGACTTAAGTATAGTTATTCTTGGCCAACTTCGTTTCTAATGAAGTTTGGTCGAAAATTGGCAAAGCGTTTGTAATGCTAAATGGTAGAACTTGGCAAACAATTAATCAGCATGGAAAAAGAATCAGTTTACTATGCGCAATAGCGAGGTCTATACTTTGCGTTGCTCCGTAAAAAGTAAATCAATTTTGAGTAAGTAATTAAGGTTATGTTTTCAAGTTTTTCAATTATTGAACAATTTCTTACTTTTCGAAGATTGTTATTCCGTCGTTAATTTTGAAGTAATATAAATTTACATTGGTATTCCTACATTATGCACTTTTTTGTTCATATAGATTTTCATTTCGTTGCATAAAGTTGCAATGAAGAAAAATAACTGCATTTTTCTAGGTATATAGCTATATGTCACAAAAAAAAAAGAGTATTTATTGGGTTTAAAGATTTATAGTGCCTGAAGTGAGCAAGGTAATTGTAACTTTTGCATTAAATTTTAATATTGATTTCTTTTTTTATTTTAGAAGTTCTTCATAACATATAAAGTTACCTATCACAAGCAATTTTACAATAAGTTCCAAATGTTTAATAAAACATAATTCTTAATAGCCTTATTGTAATTCTATTTGTCTTATAATATTATACCACACATAAAGGTATTTTTTTCTAGAAACCCGAGAGATTTCCTCCTGCGGGGGCTGTAGAATTTCAGAGGTCCTTTGACGTGGCCTTAAACAACGCCAAAAAACGTGCCAGAAATCAAAGAAAAGCCTTTTTTTAACTAATTTTAATTTTTTAATTTTTTTAATTATAATTAAAAAATACAAAATGTTTTAATTGTTTTCCGTGCCTGTATTTGTAAACCGTTTTCCTTTAATTTTTATTATAAAAAGCGTTGTATTAACCCAATTTTTAAATACTCTTAAAAAAAGTAATAGATTTTAAAGTAAACAAGAAAAAGCTTTAAAAATTTTTTTTTAGAAATATTCTTTTAAATATAATTATAAATTTGTAAATACTCTGGATTTGTTAAAATATTTATAAATATCATAGCATTAGTCAATTTTTCAAAAGCCTAATATTTGCCAAATAAACATAAAAAAATTATCATCGTTTTTCCCTGCCCAAACATTCCCAAAATTAAACCAACGGTAACCTACCTATATTATTATTATTATATTATTGGGCACAATTTGATCATTTATTACACAAAAATCTTACAAATATTAAGTCCTATATTGTACACTTTTTGGCAAAACTTTTCCAAAGATGAAAGGGTAATTCTTGGCCAAGTTTTAACCTGATATGGTTCTCTGGGAATTGTAAGAGTCTCAGATTATTTTAAATTTGGTACTTTTTACAAAATCTTCTCTCCTCTTTAAGATATCGCAAAAATAGGAAAAATTGATATAATGGAGCAATTGAGTCGCATTGCCGCATAAAAAATCTTTTTGGTTCCTTTCATAAAAGTTTAAAACTCATTTAAGATTGTTAAGATATTATTTAATGGATACTAATTGTCAAACAATTTATTTGGGTTTAAGTAAAGTTGTATTCAAAAAGATATTTTTATAGGGACATGAAAAAGCAATTATTTTATCTTACCTTCTGACAAGGATGACGATAGTGGTGATAATGGCCGCTAAAAAGACGAAGGCCCCAAAGGCACCCAAAGCAATAATGGCACCAACATTGAGTTTGGCCCCGAAAGGTTCTCTCCTTTCGCCATCCACACTAAGCGGAATATTAACATTTGGAACCTAAAAAATAAAAATATTAAACAGCTTTCCAAAAAATGTCTTTAATTATGTACCTCTCCATGTTGTATATTGCTACTTCCAGCAATCTCGTTGTCCTGTGGGTGTCCCGCCACAATAATCGACGGTAAACTTGTTGTTTTTGCGGTGGTGCTACTAGTTGTGGTTATGGTAGTCTTAGTGAAAGGCCTTCTTGTTTTGTTGGTGGCTTTAACTATCTCCGTTGCTTTTATCGTGGTAGGCGATGGTTTAGGCGGCCTCGTCCTCAATCTAGTAGTCGATGATAGTCTTGTAGTCGATGTTTTTATTGTAGTTTTTGGTTCCTGGGACGGACTTGCTGTAGTGGTTGTAGTTACGTCTTCCTTGCATGTGGGCGGTAAGGCATCGTACTGTCCGTTGCCCAAACAAGTCAAAGTTTTAGGTCCGACAAGATTAAATCCCGGTTTGCAGGTGTACTCAACTGTAGTGCCAAACATTGTTTCGTTATTATTTGTTGTCTCCATGACTCCGTGAGGGATTTCAACCGGAGGTTCGCACATAATCGCTAAAAATAAGTTAATATCAGTAAATGAATTTGTCGAGGTTAAGTTTTTCCTACGGTCGCATCTCGGCGGTGGTCCGTTCCATCTTTCGTCGATGTCGCAAGCCAACTGAGCTCTCCCAATCATTTCAAAGCCTTCATCGCAAGAGTATATGACTCTACTGAGGTAACCTACACTGTCGTTTACCAACTGGTACTCTCCGTTGGCTATGTCTGCTGGATATCCACATTGAATGCCTAAAAATGTTTTATGGTTAATACAAATAGCATTACTAAACACAGATGACATCTTACGTTTGCAAACAGGTGGAAACTCGTTATAGAATCCATTTTCAAGACAAGTTCTACTCGAAGGACCAACTAAAAGATGTCCTTCATCACAGGAATATTCAACGGTAGTGCCAACGTTATAATTTTCGGCAACCATGGTAGAGTTTGGTGGTTGTTCAGGTCGTCCACATGCTTTAGGCTCTACAAAATATATGATTTGAATGTCTTAGATACTGAGTGAAGATATAATAACTTACGGTGTTGACAAATGTAATTCAAATGCATATTGCAGTCGGTATCAGACCAAAGCCATCCTTTGGTACCATCGTATCTAGCGCATTCGCCATTACCCACAGGAAGATTCCAGAATGACACGGTTACGTCTTCGCCGTTCAACCAGTTCCAGTTTCCTAACTTCGGGTCTCTTATCGCTCCCATCCAGTATTGACCACTGGCATCGCTTCGATGACGTCGCCAAAGCTCCCAACTGATGAAGCCTTGAAGGGCTGGGTTGCTTTCATCTACAAGAGTACCTGAAAAAGCGATTATTAGAGGAAATGTTGTACACTGATGATAACGAATTCGTTTGTTGTATGGACAAAATGTCTTACCTCCTCTGGATCTGCAGAAGGCAAGGGCATCTTTAAACATACTGGGCTGCCTGTTGTAGAAAATATAACACTTTCCGTTGTAAGTGGCAGTGCTGCCCGGTGGTTGATCTCTGAACTGTGGACACCTTTCAATGGGTAAAGCCTGATCCGTGTAAACGAAAGCTTCGCAAATGGATAGCTGGCTGGCAGTGGGCGCTTCAAGGTGAACGCTGACGAACGCTCCTGGCATAGGCGGATTGCAAGGGAGGAATAGGGGTTGGCCTTCTTCGAGGAAGCCTGTGAAACGATTGCAGATGGGGTTCGTGCCCAAATCTGGTCTGTTGTTGCCCACGCGTACTACGATGGTTGCTGGTTTGTTTGCACCTAGAAAAAATGAATAATTAGGTTTTTTGTGCCACTAAGGGCCGGTTTTTCAATTAGGGTTTAAACCTTAGTTCAGGGGAACTTAGATCAGTTAATGAACTCAGTTCATAGTCAAATGAGTTTTTCAATGTTGACTCAACAGCAGTTCTGTTGAACTTAGATCAGCGGTGTCAACGTTAAGTTGGTACAACCGAATTTAGTATACGCCTACATTAATAGTAGTTAAAACTGTCATTTTGACAAAAGGATTTTGTGTTTAATTTTGGAGTTTTGTTTATCTGTGCTGTTTTTAAAAGTTCTAATCTGTGCGAAAGGTTGCTTTAAAACAATTTACTATTGTTAAAGAACAATAATTATTATTTATTATGAATAAAAATCGTGCTGCCAACTTTAACTCTTTTAAGGAGGAATTATTTGTATGTATTTCGTTTTATAGTATAAAATGAATTTGTCGTTTTTTGTTACATGTGATGAATTTTACTAAAATCTATAGATTTATTACCTATTCAGTAATTATTTTTATAACTAACCTATTGGTCCGATTTGCAATAACTGATCTAATTAAATCCACTATCCTACGTACAAAAGGTTTGGAAAACCGAAATCTGGCAAAAAATTCATCATTATTCCACCTTTCAAAATGATTCGGTTTACCCGTGGCCTGTGCACACGAAGTTGAATATTATTTAGGAATTCGCCAATTTCCTCATAATCCTCACTAACTACCTCAAACATATCCATTGGTTGATTATAACAGCAGATCACAAAACAAGAAATAAACAACCTAATACACAATAAAGCAGAGAAAAATTAAGTTATATCAAGTTGAACTTCGTTTAAACCACAGACTGGTGGTCTGTGGTTTAAACGGCCAACAGTGACAGTTCATCTTTTGATTTAGTTTAAACCAAATTCAAGCTTGAACTTTGATTGAAAAACGGCATATTTTGTTTGAACCAAGTTCAAATTTGAACTTGCATTAATGCTGAACCAAGTTTAAACTATGATTGAAAAACCGGCCCTAAGTTTGTTACATGGAATTAAATTCCTTCACTCACTTTCAAATGATTCATGGGAACATACAATTTGGACAAATTATTGAAATTTTCCATAGAAAATTCAATTAAACTTAACTTAACAATAATGTTTTTCTTGCTAGAGAACATATTTTTATTTAATTAATTGGCAACTAAACAGACTGAGTCCAATTACATAGTTCTGGATACGGACGGTCATTAATAAATAACAATTATCTATAGTAATATAATTTTTCTAAAAGGCGTTTAGCCGTTTTTCGTCTTCGATCTGAATCCCATTGAAATAAAATAAAGGCGCGAATTGAGGACGTAATGTAGTGTTACGAAGACTGTTGTGATATGACAATAAGGTTAATGAGTTAACCTAAATCAAGAATAATCGTAATGTTAAGCTGTATTATTTTAATTGCTCTTGGTTTAATCGATTTTACACGTTATATATTCTATTCCTTCCAATTATTAACAATCATCTTGATACGAGTATTATCATATTAGACTTATTAATTAATTGTACCAAAGACTGATTTAACTTGTAAATGTGCTTCACCGGCAGATAGGCTTTTGGAGCTCATCAGTATCGGATAGCCATAAGGCGAGGAAGCATTGGATGTAGTTATGACTCTAAAAATTAGGAAACAAAAAATGAAGCGTGGGTATACCTTGATATCTCATAGCGTAAGTTAATGAATAATCAGCGGTCGCCATCTTTAAGTTTATTACTCCACAAGAACCTTCGTGTTTCGTTTTAATTACATTCATAACGGCGTAATTATCGCAGATAAATGTATGCGATAACTTTCCCCTGAAATCCTCCTCCCGATGAATAAACAAACAAAAATTAAATATCATAAACATGCAAACAGGAAGTTGGCAAGTTTTTTCTTTCTTGCATTTTGTTTTTATGTTTTTTTTTTATTATTTATTAAATTAATTAGCGGATACGGGCTTGCTGAAATGTTTTGACAATGACATAAATTCGTTATTAATTTAATAAGATGGGCGAACTTTCGACATTTCTTAGGGATGTTACAAAAATGGTTTTTGTATAAAGTAATTCGGGTATGACACACAGAAATATTTCCATGGTTAAGTAGATAAAACACAATATTTTTGTACAACAAATACTTAATAATAATTATTATTATCTTAAAATGATTTAAATCAAAAATTCGTATAGAGCGTCATCTATGAAACAATAGGGGAATCTGTGTGTCACCGTCAAATGTCACATTTTTATTTTATAAACACAGATTATAAAGGTTATAAATCGAAATGTATTTCTTAAAAATTGATTTTTTTTGTAAACTTTTCAAATATTGGCATTGAGAAACTATTTAATACTTTTGTATTGAGATAATAAAATAATTTTCACATTTAGTATTACTTTACAAAAAAGGCACTTTATTTTAACGATTGTATGACATTTGACAACTGTCAACTAACTTAAAACTAACTTTAGCCAGTGACTAAAAACCTGTTGCTAACTTCAGCCCGTGACTAAAGCGCCATAAAGCCACTTGTCAATGTGTATTTAAAAGGTCACTTAGTGTCTTGGAAACATGTACGATAATGGGGGTTTTAAAGACGGGAGTAGCAAAAATAAATTAAATTTCAATTATCGAGCAAATGTTCATATTGCTTCTTCGATTTTCCCGCAGCCTTGCAATAAAGTTTAATGATCCTAATGGCTAACTGTTTAGACTAAAAACGACCGTAATTGATATAATTAAATAAATTGCGATTAAAATTAACCCCGATTTGTTAATTTATAGATCCGAGCGGTGCAGTTTATCTTTCTCTTAATGCGAATTAAATAATGTTTCGATCTATTAACTTGAAGAGAGAGAAGAAAGTGAAAATTGATAACCGCTGAGCCGTTGAAATTTGTGAGGATCGAAGTCAAAACAATTGCCTAGCAAGATTGACGTCGAGCTTTTGTTTTCGTGTTTGCTAACTAACTATCAATTTAACCAATGAAAAAAGTTTTGTTTTTAGACTTTTTTGCGATATACAATAATTGTGGTATTTCAAAAGAAACGTAGGTTTAATTTAATTTATTTTTACCACAACAATTTTTGTTCAGATTACTAAAAAAACTAACTTAATTAAAAAGTGAAAATAATGTTTGTAATTATTTTTTTATTGCGGCAATTTAAATATATTCAAGCAAACTTTAATCAACGCATTAATGTATTTATGATGACTTATAATTCACTTTTTAATGGTTTTGGCAAATAAGTTGTTTCACTGGAATAATGAATTCATTATTTCCGTTGTTTTGCGGGACAGTTATAATGGCTACCATTATATACAGAAAACCCAAATAAGGTCAATAATATGAAATAGGAGTAGAAAATAGTATATTAAAGAAATAATGTCATAAGACGTCACGAGTGCGACAAAAGGTCTTATGACATGAGTTCTTTATGCTATTTTATCTATTTTGCAAAAATTCTATAAAAAAATTAATTTTATACCTTAAATTTAATTTGGTCGAATTTTACTTTAGATAGTTGGTATCACATTCATTGGTTTGACAGTTAATGTCAAAATCGATTCGCCATGCCGTCCTTAATTTACTTATTTACAATAAGCGGATGTTAATGTTAAAGAAGAAAAAAAAATATTGCCAGAAAAGTCTCGTAAGTAGGTACTAGAAAAATCATAAAAATATTATAACCAATATGCAAAATATTATGCTGTTTAAAGTATAGCCAACCTATAAAATCGAAATTTTGGGTGTGATAAAGTATCTAATTACAACACCGAAAGCGGTGTTATAATGAAGTCATTATGTACGCAAAATAGATAAAAATATGTTAAAATCTTAGACAAAGAAAATCTGAATCGAAATGTGAATAGTTTTATACATAATTTAATTATAAATGATATCATTTTTAATGAAAGGCCGAATATTTGTTTATTTATAAACTTGTTTGACAGATACTGATTAAAATAAATGGATGTATTACCTTAAATCAATAGTATAGATTTTGACCTGTGAAAGGTTATGTTACTTGTGAAAGGTTAATTCTCATTATTATACCTTCTACAACCTAACGCATAACAAACCATTAGGGTGAATGAATATATTATATATAAAAATTCTAACTGACCTTCAGGAATCACATACATATTTCTATATTGTCGTAAACTTATTTAAAATGATTAAAGCGCCATCCGTTCCATAAAATTTAAATCAAAAAACAGATTCACGGAGGATAGAATCAATTTTTGTAACACCTACATAAATGGTTTTAAAAATTATTTCTTTTAATTTTTAATAATATTTTATATTTGATTCGATCGCTTTGGATGTGTTTAATTTACTTAGTGAACTGATATTTTTAGTAAGTATGCTTTTACTACCTCAGATTTTTGAAAACATATACATAGGTTAACCTAGAAAGAGTAACAGTAACGGAGGATAGGTTTAAGACTTTTAAAACATTATAAAAAATAATTAATTGCGGTTAAAAATCTGGAACCTGAGCTGTAATATCTACTTAATTATGAAAGATCAAAACACAATAAAAGTGTAGGTCAAACTCAATTAGTTTTATTAAATATCAAGGGGTAACACCATCGGGGGACATTTTGTGGGATTCACCTATTAGTCGAAAACAAAAGCTCAAATAAAAATTTATGTTAAATATCAAACGACAATTTCCGTACAGCATAATTAATTGCAATAAAAAAAAGAAAACCTGTAGGTAATAGTTATAATATTAATAACCTGTCACAGGATATAATAAAACCGCCAATAAATAAATTAAGTGAAAAGTGCCATATGATCGAAAGTGATTTTTATATAATTTTTATGCAGGCATTACAAAATTGCCTATGGGTTCCTGCATGCATTGTTGTAGAAAGGGGCCGTTCATTAATTACGTGAGACAATTTTGGCGATTTTTCGACCCCCCCCCTCCCCTTGGTGAGATGTCGTGAGATTTTGCTCGACCCCCTCTCCCCCCCTTAATCTCACGTGAGATTTTTTAAAATGCATGGTTTTAATGTAAATAAGTTAATCTGTGCTTGATTCCATTAGATTTATTTAAAAAAACAATTTGCTTATAATTGTTTACTTAATTTAACCCAGTTTTCTCGCAATTTTACACTCTTTCTTTCGAAAAAAAAAAATTACGTGATATTTGCCGAGAACCCCCCCTCCCTCCACGTGAGATTTGGTGAGGTTTGGCTCGACCCCCTCCCCCCCCCTAAACACCTCACGTAATTAATGAACGGCCCCAAAGTCTTTAAGTAACTGCAAATGTTACAATTAAATGCATCCATTAGTTTTTTTATTGGATTTTAGCGTGCATTGAAGTGATTTAAATATTTCCAGGAGAATTTTATTGAATAATCAAGTACTTCCGTCGGTGTATTTATTTTTGTTACAGATCGTAAGTTATGCATTTACATGCCATGTCTATGTTTAAATACTTTCTTTTGGCTTTAATGCGCCTAGAAGAATTCCTGATTTTCTGAATATGAGGAAATCTTTTTGTAATGATTTACAAACATTTTTACTTAACTTAGGTATTCAGTTACAGGTGGATTTTTTATAAGCATTCATTCTGAAAATTCCCCACCTCTAATGTGGAACCAGATGAATAAGGGACTGTTAACTCAGCAGGTCAAACCAAGATTTTTTTACGATAAGATAGAAAAAAAAAAGTTACAAAAGCTCTCTTTTAGTTCCACCCTTACTTCCTAAGAAGTCCCAGAAGCCAACTGAATGGCTTGAGCGGGTTAGGGGTAGGAACGGACCGCGGGCTTAAAGTCCCCTCCGAAGGACTAATACACAATGGGACAAACACACATACTTATTCCTATATTCTAAATAAACGATGCTCTTATTACTTACCACAACATGGTTTTCCAAAATCCAACCTCACAAGTTGAACCATGTATGGTTCGAGAAGGTTCACGTACCACCATGGAGTTTTTTCCGCTTTGGTGAGCGTGCAAGTTTCAGAATTGAAAAATGCGCTTGTACTGCCGTCGATGGCTTTTTGTGGTATTCCTCCAGCATCTGTGCTGACTTGCATCGGCGCTTTGCCAGCTGCCACATTCAGTACTGCAAAATAAAAAAAAATGCGTTAATTAATACTGTTTTGATTAATAAGTTTTTATTGTGAACAGTGCCGAATTAAGATAGCAATATACAATTTTATCTTCCAAACATAACAATACAAGCTGTTGTCTTCCAGGATGCTCCAGTTCACCTAGCCCTTTAAACCTGCCTGTGTAAATTTTTTAGTGTAGGGGTAAAAACATTAGAGTTGCTTTGTAAGTGTAAAAGTTACACTACAAAATACACTAGGTAGCATTTAGTGCCTATTAACTTTATTAAACACATTTAAAGAATATGAACATTATTCATTGGTACATTCACACTATTTATTATTGAAATAAATCAAAAGGGTAGAAAAACTTAATACGAGTGTTTATTACCCCTTAATGTGTTAAATAGTGTCAAAATGTACACTACAGTGCATGCCAATTTCTTTGTCTGTTTTGATGTTACTAAGAGCTCTTTTTTCTTTACACTACTAGTGCACATTGTACCACAATTAAAGTTAAATTACACCAATAGTGGCAAAATAGACTAAAAAAACTGGTAATAACCGAAATTCGAATTTTGTAACACAATACAATGAGTATTATCAACCAACAACACAGAAGAACAACTTTTAACAGCTCTTAAAGAAGCCAACTTTGAATTTCTACAAAAATTTCCACTTTTCTTTTACTTTTAACCACTTCTCTAAAAAACTCCTTGTGCGTGGCATGTTGACAAGAGTTATTTTCTTCGCAATTATCAAGACAAAAACGTTTTATAAAAAAAAATAATAGCAACAAAATGGTTTACACTCATGCAAATTTGCAATTGGAAAGCAAATTGGTTATAATAAAGACGTATTGCTGCTCTACTAGGAACAATCATAAAACCTTTTTACTGTTTGGTTCTGTAACATTCTTACATAGAGGAAAAGTAGTCCTAAGACCAAATGCTCCTATGAGTCGGCTTTAACAGATGCATTAAAGCCAACTTTCCGAGCGCCATTAAAACCAATAGGCATCTGATAAACCTTCATAAAGCTTATTGGACTATAAGCGTTTCTTAGGGGCAAGTTTCCCTTAAAAAGCATTCTTGGTTAACAGTAATAAATCAATGTTAAGATCAAACGGTTATAATTGCAAAAAGGCCTTATACTTTAGTTTAAAGTCGCTCATAAAGCTTCATTATCTTAAGACCAACTAGCACAAACTAGAACTGCAATAAAATAAAAAGCATGTTTTCATGCATTTATTAAGCTTGCTTAAAGCAGTACAGCATTATCGGTGGCAACCCTTTGCTACTTGGGTGATTTTTTTTAATGACCAAATAGCACGAATTAGGCAGCAGGATCATAAATCACCCAGTGAGGCATTGGTGCTTAAGTTAAGACGAACACAAAGGAGTAATTACTCTAAGTATCATTAGGAATTCTTTAACAGAGAGTAAGCAGACAAAACACGTTGAGTTGATGTATGTCTATTGTCGGCTATAATATGTAAATGACGCTTCTTTATTTGCTTTTCTATTTTTCCTGCAATTATTTCAAAGACAAAGTACTCCGAAAGAAAGTGAAACTAAATACCGCGAAGCACAATTAAGTCATTTGTTTTTTCCCTTATGTTTGGTTTGTGGTCAAAATAATTATGAAAAATTTAATGCCATAACATCATTTAGTTTTGACTTGCTGAATCAAAATCCGACGAATCAGAAATTATAAAACCATTAGAAACAACCTGATATTCCATAAAAATGCAAAAGAACGGAAATCAATGTCAAAGATCAAGACAAGCATTAAGATGTAGGTCTAACCCCATTCAAAAAATTAACAACAGCAAACTTTTTCATTGCGTTTAGCCGGTTTTAGACGTGACCTCATATCTGTAATCCAAAATCCGAATCATCGTAGGCGCTGAGGTCCAAGGTTATCCGATGGAAATTCTCGGTCGAGGCCACAATGTGTTTGACCCAATCGTCGTCTTCTTCTTTAAGGTGATGCCTGTCACACTTATTGCTAAGCAAAGTTATGTTATTATTAACAAGCATTAGTGACAGAAGACATAAAGTAGATCAAAGAACTAAAAGAATAAGAGAAAGAAGACTATGGTGGAAAAATTTGGTATTTGTCGAGACGCCACTGGCCGCAGTCGTATTTAAATGCATTAACCGTTAATGAATGATCGTAAAGATTTTATATTCATCCATACATTCAAGTGCAAATGGCTCAATTCGAATCCTGTTCGAGTCATTTGCAAGGTGTGGAACTATTAATGCTTCCTCTTCAGTGAACTTAATAGGTACTGACATCTTGACGAGTGATATGAATCATTAAAAGGAATTTGGCGAGTGATTTTATCGCAAAACAAATCAAAGTTATGTACTTGTTTCCAATTTGGAAGAAGGTGAAATCCAAATTGCGATCACGACTTATCGTAACATCATTTGGTAAGACTTTGCTAATGCTAATTATGAAAGGAAGAATTATTATAATTAGGATTCTTCTTAGGTTGACGGATTAATTTGATTAACCAACTATTTTATAATTCAAACAATGTTTGGCACAACAACATACTTAACAGTTACATTTTAAGTGTAACTGTAAATCCTAACTTAAATACATGTTGTTGATTAATTTCAACAATAGGTGAACATGAGGGGATCCAAACAATTTCTTTTTGAAAATGTGACCATCACAAAAAAGTCTTAAAAATAAAAACTAAATTGGATAAGATTTGAAGGTCCCTCACAGTGTCGGCTGGTGGATTTTGGGTATACCGATATCTCAATTATTAGATATGGGACCCAGTGGCGTGCAGGACGGGCCCCGCAGGGCCCGCGGTGCGGGGGGGCCCCCGACCTTAGGGGGGCCCCGTAGAGAACCACATTGGGTGGTATAAGTGACAAAGGGGCCCCAGCTCAAAATTTGCGGGGGGGCCCCCGATCACCTTTGCACGCTACTGATGGGACCCACACCAAATTTTTATGAATTTATAATGACATTAAATAAACAAGTTCTGCGCAAGCAGAATTTAAATTGAAGTTTGCGAAATAAGATGGCCCCCAATAAGTATAATATAATTTTAATTGGTGCTATTTATTATTTACCATAGTTTATCGACAAATTTCAAATTTCTTTTAATAATCCAATCTTGTCGGCCTGGGCCACAAAGTTACTTATATTTCACACTGTTTCATAAAGCGATGCTTACTCCACGAGGAAGAAAACCCGAATCCATTAAATATTTAGACTTAGTCTAGCTATTTCACTAGAGAAAAAAATCTAGTAAATGGTTATGCTGGACTTCCTGTATAAATCCCAGTAAAAATTGTGTCAGAACGGTTTTGCAAACATGCAAATAATTTACCGTGATTAATAATAACAGCCTTATTTAAAAATCACTCTATTTATCAGCGATAATGCTATTTAATTCGATGAATTATTGTTTAGTTGCTTATAAACATCCGCCTCTCTTCCATACCAAAAATCCACAGTGTAAATTATACGGTTATGCGTGTAATATGGCCGCAGGTAACAATTAAGGCTGTAAATTTTGATTTAATTAGCGTATAATGTCTGTAATTTATTGTGTGTGTTTTTTAATGGGCCAACTGTTTTCTACTTAATATTCCATTTTTTTCTTTTGAAAAAAAAACATGTTATTCGGTGTATAAGAGCATAATAATTTTCTTTGGAGGAAACCGTTTTGAAACTTGATATGGAAAGTACCTTTTAATGCCGTTTAGTTACGCTTCGTAACTAGGTAAAAAAAGCAACCAATTTTTAAATTATTTGATAAAATAATAATAATATTTATTTGATTATTTGATTTAAATATATAAAATAAGGACTGGTCAGTTTTACTGTAAAAATCTACCTTATGAATGAATGTAAAAATTGGTTGGCCTTGACAAAATGTATAATTCAGAGCACACTTGGCAAATGGTCAATGATTGAAATGCGTTTGAAACGGTGAACATGGTTAAGAATGCGGGAACAAACTACAGCTACTATAGTATACTGTACTATAGCGTCACTATATACCTAAACGCGTCTTAATCCAAAGCTAATTATAATTCTAATACCACAAAATTTATATAAATAAGTAGGAAATTTAAAAACTCACTTTTCTTCGTTTACTTGTTATAAAGAACCACCTTTAGATCTTGGTACACCCCAAGGTTCCGTGCTAGGCCCAATAGTATTTTTAATACTCAATGTTAACGCATTTTTTTATTTTTCAGAAAGACATATGCCGGGCCACAAGTTATCTAAGTAGCTCACATTGCATTTGACACTATAGTACACTTATTTACGCCTAAACCCAAACTCACTTAATTATTATAACGCCGTTACACTACGTCAAAATTAATAACATAATACCTTAAAAATTTCTTTAACGACTTTTGATAAGTGCTTCAAAAATTATAGACACCATGAAATTTTTGTTTGGAACATTTAAATTATTCTAATAAATTTGGCTTTAAATATCACTTTCTCATTTTAATTCGAGATGAAAGTCAATAAGTCACGGAAACTGTTTTTGCAGGTATTGTCAATCGTGTGTATCGATTATTTATTTTCAATGCGTTATGCTTCATTTGGTATTACACTGTAATATATTGTTATCTGCATATACTTTCCTTTACTTTACCTTTCTTATAATACATAATAATTTTAACGATGAAAATTGCATTTTTTTAATTTTTTTATGAAACATTTTATCTTTTTTATTTTACACGGAAAATTAATTTAATGTTTTTCTAACTTGTTGATTCTATTATTATATTATATATTCATAAGTAGGTATCTGTTAAGGATCAATAGAAAATCGACATATTAATCTTTAATATTTATTACGAAAATTTCTAATAAAATAGAAACCAATAAAAATTTAACTTCCTCGACACACTTAGTTCTGTAAAACCCGGCACCTGGCTGACACACATATAAAAATTGTTAAACATTTTTCATAACACTGAAATAATTATTTTTCGTTTTTACAGAAGTGTATTCAGTA